GGGGGCGCCAAAGATGACCCAAATATCCACATTTTTAAAAGTCTTATAACTTTTTATTTTTGTCCTCACTGGCCTCCAAGTTTTCTAGGATGATGCAATGTGCAGCCATCAACACATCTGTGAAGGAATTTTTTCTCCCCAAAACAGCGCCCCCCCCCCCATGGCAGGAGAAAAAGTCAAGTTTTTCCAGCCCATCGCTTAATGGCTCAAACGCATTGCTCTCCCGCTAAAACCAAAAGGAGGAGCAACTTGCCATTTGGATATGTCCTAGCTGTGTTTGTGCCCTCACTCATGGTCCAGAGTTTTTTCAAATAGGACATGTAGTTTGTCTGCAGCGAGTGTTTTGGTAGAAACTGTGCCTCCCATTCATTATAATGGGAAATGACCAAAGACAGGTGCGCACACCATCTTTGGACCTTGACTTTGACGTCACAGTTTGAGATACAAATGTAATCTGACCTCTGACCTTTGGTGGACACCCTAACCTTTCAACCCGCGAAAACGGCGTTTCAATAGCTCTTACGGCTTTCCTACAAATACACTTTGTTCAGCTACTCCTACTGTCCTTTAAGCTCTGCTTCTCAGATCATCAAAGAGTGTGCACGTGTGTAATGAGCGCATATTGAATGTTAATTATGTTAAATATGTTAATTATTAGAAGAAAAAACAACAACAGTCCTTTTGGACAAAATTTCTTTTTATTACAGAATTAGAATAATGGAAGCATAGTCCAAGGAAACCATTCAAGTGATGTCATACCTCATAATTTATTGAGATGTTGGCTAGTCTGGGCATTTCTTCATTCATCAGGTTTCCTGCATGCATACTAACAGAGCACATCAGTAGCAGTGAGTGATAAGTATGAGTGTGTCATTGTGTAAGAAAGAAAGTGGTTTACTTACACATCCATAGAAAATAGGTGGTTGAGCACAGCACGCAAACAAAGCTTTGCCACAACGGTTGAACTTCCCAAGTAGCTGATACCAAGGTCACACAATCATGGTGAGCAAAGGTCAAACCAGGCCAGGCACTCACGAGGCTGGCTGTGGCAAGTGTAAGTGAAAGCAACACGCAATGGCAGGAAGAACAGCAAACACCGATGAAGGAAAAGGGTCTTTGCAGTGATGGGCGTCACCAGAGAGGGCGATGGCCAGAGGGCACGAATGGGACGGGGAGGCGGTCGCGCTGGGGGCGGCGTGACGCGGCTCGGGCCCGCCAGTGCCCCAACGGGGCCCTAGTTATTATTATTTTTCCTCCGCTTTAAACTGGAAAATGGCCCACTTCCCACTGGCGAAAACTCAGGAAATTTGGCAGGACGACCGGGCCTGGTGAAAAATTCGATATTCTGAAGTCGCCCAAACAATAAAATGCAAAATGGCTCCATAGCGCCCCCTAAGGTGAAAATTCACATGCGGGCTGTACGCTTTGTCAAAATGACACAAAAATTGACACACACATGTATCTCAATAAGATCTACAAAAAAGTCAGTGCGGGCGTATCTGTCAAATGTACGGTTAAAGGGTTATTTCGCATTTTTTGCAGATCTGCACACATTGGAATTTCGCTAACTCCTCCGAAGGCTTTCGTTCCACCGGCACCACATTTGCGCAGGTCAATCTACCCCCCATGGCCATTAAAAGTTGTACAAATCATCTTGCTGCACCCCACGGTTTACGTTCTAGGGGGCGCCAAAGATAACCCACAAATCCACATTCTTAAAAATCTTATAACTTTATTTTTGTCCTCATTGGCCTCCAAGTTTTCTAGGATGATGCAATGTCCAGCCATCAACACATTTGTGAAGGAATTTTTACTCCCCAAAACAGCGCCCCCCCCATGGCAGGACAAACAAGGCCATTTTTTCTTGTCCCCTAAGGTGAAAATACACATTGTTCAGTGTCACGCCTATACGCTTTGTCATATTGACACAAAATTTGACACACACGTGTATCTCAATAAGATCTACGAAAAAGTCAATGGGCACATATCTGTCAAATGTACGGTTAAAGGGTTATTTCGCATTTTTTGCCGTTCCGCACACATTGGAATTTCGCTAACTCCTCCGAAGGCTTTCGTTCCACCGGCACTACATTTGCTCAGGCCAATCTACACCCCATGGCCATTCAAAGTTGTACAAATCATGACGCTGCACCCCACGGTTTACGTTCTAGGGGGCGCCAAAGATAACCCACAAATCCACATTCTTAAAAATCTTATAACTTTTTATTTTTGTCCTCATTGGCCTCCAAGTTTTCTAGGATGATGCAATGTCCAGCCATCAACACATTTGTAAAGGAATTTTTACTCCCGAAAAGAGCGCCCCCCCATGGCAGGAGAAAAAAGTCAATTTTTTCTTGTCCCCTAAGGTGAAAAAACACATTGTTGACTGTCACGCCTATACGCTTTGTCAAAATGACACAAAATTTGACACACACGTGTATCTCAATAAGATCTACGAAAAAGTCAATGGGCACGTATCTGTAAAATGTACGGTTAAAGGGCTATTTCGCATTTTTTGCCGATTCGCACACATTGGAATGTGGCTAACTCCTCCTAAGGCTTTCGTCCCACCGACACCAAATTTGCTCAGGCCAATCTACATCCCATGGCCATTCAAAGTTGTAAAAATCATGACGCTGCACCCCAAGGTTTATGTTCTAGGGGGCGCCAAAGATGACCCAAATATCCACATTTTTAAAAGTCTTATAACTTTTTATTTTTGTCCTCACTGGCCTCCAAGTTTTCTAGGATGATGCAATGTGCAGCCATCAACACATCTGTGAAGGAATTTTTTCTCCCCAAAACAGCGCCCCCCCCCCCATGGCAGGAGAAAAAGTCAAGTTTTTCCAGCCCATCGCTTAATGGCTCAAACGCATTGCTCTCCCGCTAAAACCAAAAGGAGGAGCAACTTGCCATTTGGATATGTCCTAGCTGTGTTTGTGCCCTCACTCATGGTCCAGAGTTTTTTCAAATAGGACATGTAGTTTGTCTGCAGCGAGCGTTTTGGTAGAAACTGTGCCTCCCATTCATTATAATGGGAAATGACCAAAGACAGGTGCGCACACCATCTTTGGACCTTGACTTTGACGTCACAGTTTGAGATACAAATGTAATCTGACCTCTGACCTTTGGTGGACACCCTAACCTTTCAACCCGCGAAAACGGCGTTTCAATAGCTCTTACGGCTTTCCTACAAATACACTTTGTTCAGCTACTCCTACTGTCCTTTAAGCTCTGCTTCTCAGATCATCAAAGAGTGTGCACGTGTGTAATGAGCGCATATTGAATGTTAATTATGTTAAATATGTTAATTATTAGAAGAAAAAACAACAACAGTCCTTTTGGACAAAATTTCTTTTTATTACAGAATTAGAATAATGGAAGCATAGTCCAAGGAAACCATTCAAGTGATGTCATACCTCATAATTTATTGAGATGTTGGCTAGTCTGGGCATTTCTTCATTCATCAGGTTTCCTGCATGCATACTAACAGAGCACATCAGTAGCAGTGAGTGATAAGTATGAGTGTGTCATTGTGTAAGAAAGAAAGTGGTTTACTTACACATCCATAGAAAATAGGTGGTTGAGCACAGCACGCAAACAAAGCTTTGCCACAACGGTTGAACTTCCCAAGTAGCTGATACCAAGGTCACACAATCATGGTGAGCAAAGGTCAAACCAGGCCAGGCACTCACGAGGCTGGCTGTGGCAAGTGTAAGTGAAAGCAACACGCAATGGCAGGAAGAACAGCAAACACCGATGAAGGAAAAGGGTCTTTGCAGTGATGGGCGTCACCAGAGAGGGCGATGGCCAGAGGGCACGAATGGGACGGGGAGGCGGTCGCGCTGGGGGCGGCGTGACGCGGCTCGGGCCCGCCAGTGCCCCAACGGGGCCCTAGTTATTATTATTTTTCCTCCGCTTTAAACTGGAAAATGGCCCACTTCCCACTGGCGAAAACTCAGGAAATTTGGCAGGACGACCGGGCCTGGTGAAAAATTCGATATTCTGAAGTCGCCCAAACAATAAAATGCAAAATGGCTCCATAGCGCCCCCTAAGGTGAAAATTCACACTATTGACTGTCACGCCTGTACGCTTTGTCATATTGACACAAAAATTGACACACACATGTATCTCAATAAGATCTACAAAAAAGTCAGTGCGGGCGTATCTGTCAAATGTACGGTTAAAGGGTTATTTCGCATTTTTTGCAGATCCGCACACATTGGAATTTCGCTAACTCCTCCGAAGGCTTTCGTTCCACCGGCACCACATTTGCTCAGGCCAATCTACACCCCATGGCCATTCAAAGTTGTACAAATCATGATGCTGCACCCCATGGTTTAGGTTCTAGGGGGCGCCAAAAATAACCCAAAAATCCACATTCTTAAAAGTTTTAGAACTTTTTTTTTTTGTCCTCACTGGCCTCCAAGTTTTCTAGGATGATGCAATGTCCAGCCATCAACACATTTGTGAAGGAATTTTTACTCCCCAAAAGAGCGCCCCCCCATGGCAGGACAAAAAAGTCCATTTTTTCTTGTCCCCTAAGGTGAAAATACACATTGTTGAGATTCACGCCTGTACGCTTTGTCATATTGACAAAAAATTTGACACACACGTGTATCTCAATAAGATCTACGAAAAAGTCAATGCGCACGTATCTGTAAAATGTACGGTTAAAGGGCTATTTCGCATTTTTTGCCGATTCGCACACATTGAAATGTGGCTAACTCCTCCTAAAGCTTTCGTCCCATCGGCACCAAATTTGCTCAGGCCAATCTACACCCCATGGCCATTCAAAGTTGTACAAATCATGACGCTGCACTCCACGGTTTACGTTCAAGGGGGCGCCAAAGAGGACCCAAATATCCACAATTTCAAAAGTCTTATAACTTTTTGTTTTTGTCCTCACTGGCCTCCAAGTTTTCTAGGATAATGCAATGTTCAGCCATCAACACATTTGTGAAAGAATTTTTTCTCCCCAAACGAGCGCCCCCCCATGGCAGGAGAAAAAGTTAAGTTTTTCCTGCCCATCGCCCAATGGCTCAAACGCATCGCTCTCTCGGCAAAACCGAAAGGAGGAGCAACTTGCCATTTGGATATATTGAAGCTGTGTTTGTGCCCTCACTCATGGTCCAGACTTTTTTCAAAAAGGACATGGAGTTTGTCTGCAGCGAGCGTTTTGGTAGAAACTGCGCCTCCCATTCATTATAATGGTAAATGACCACAGACAAGTGCGCACACCATCTTTGGACCTTGAGTGTGACTCGATCGGGAGGGGGAGGGGGTCGCGCTGGGGGCAGCACGACACGGCTCGGGCCCGCCAGTGCCCCAGCGGGGCCCTAGTTCGTTATTATTTTTCCTCCGCTTCAAACTGGAAAATGGCCCACTTCCCACTGGCGAAAACTCAGGACATTTGGCAGGACGACCGGGCCTGGTGAAAAATTCGATATTCTGAAGTCGCCCAAACAATAAAATGCAAAATGGCTCCATAGCGCCCCCTAAGGTGAAAATTCACATGACGGCTGTACGCTTTGTCATATTGACACAAAAATTGACACACACATGTATCTCAATAAGATCTACAAAAAAGTCAGTGCGGGCGTATCTGTCAAATTTACGGTTAATGGGTTATTTTGCATTTTTTGCAGATCTGCACACATTGGAATTTCGCTAACTCCTCCGAAGGCTTTCGTTCGACCGGCACCACATTTGCGCAGGCCAATCTACCCCCCATGGCCATTAAAAGTTGTACAAATCATGACGCTGCACCCCACGGTTTACGTTCTAGGGGGCGCCAAAGATAACCCAAAAATCCACATTCTTAAAAGTCTTATAAATTTTTACTTTTGTCCTCACTGGCCTCCAAGTTTTCTAGGATGATGCAATGTCCAGCCATCAACACATTTGTGAAGGAATTTTTACTCGCCAAAAGAGCGCCCCCCATGGCAGGAGAAAAAAGTCCATTTTTTCTTGTCCCCTAAGGCGAATATACACATTGTTGAGTGTCACGCCTGTACGCTTTGTCATATTGACACAAAAATTAACACACACATGTATCTCAATAAGATCTACGAAAAAGTCAATGTGCGCGTATCTGTAAAATGTACAGTTAAAGGGCTATTTCGCATTTTTTGCCGATTCGCACACATTGGAATGTGGCTAACTCCTCCTAAAGCTTTCGTCCCATCGGCACCAAATTTGCTCAGGCCAATCTACACCCCATGGCCATTCAAAGTTGTACAGATCATGACGCTGCATCCCACGGTTTACGTTCTAGGGGGCGCCAAAGATGACCCAAATATCCACATTTTTAAAAGTCTTATAACTTTATTTTTGTCCTCACTGGCCTCCAAGTTTTCTAGGATGATGCAATGTCCAGCCATCAACACATTTTTGAAGGAATTTTTACTCCCCAAAAGAGCGCCCCCCCATGGCAGGAGAAAAAAGTCAATTTTTTCTTGTCCCGTAAGGTGAAAATTCACATTGTTGAGTGTGACACCTGTACGCTTTGTCATATTGACACAAAATTTGACAATCACGTGTATCTCAATAAGATCTACGAAAAAGTCAATGGGTGCGTATCTGTCAAATGTACGGTTAGAGGGCTATTTTGCATTTTTTGCCGATTGGCACACATTGGAATGTGGCTAACTCCTCCTAAGGCTTTCGTTCCACCGGCACCACATTTGCTCAGGCCAATCTACACCCCATGGCCATTCAAAGTTGTAAAAATCAGGACGCTGCACCCCACGGTTTATGTTCTAGGGGGCGCCAAAGATGACCAAAAAATCCACATTCTTAAAAGAATCCACATTCTCCCCCCCCATGGCACGAGAAAAAGTCAAGTTTTTCCTGCCCATCGCTCAATGGCTCAATCGCATCGCTCTCCAGGCAACACCGTAAGGAGGAGCAACCTGCCATTTTGATATATCCCAGCTGTGTTTGTGCCCTCACTCATGGTCCAGACTTTTTTCAAATAGGACATGAAGTTTGTCTGCAGCGAGTGTTTTGGTAGAAACTGCGCCTCCCATTCATTATAATGGGAAATGACCACAGACAAGTGCGCACACCATCTTTGGACCTTGAGTGTGACGCGATCGGGAGGGGGAGGCGGTCACGCTGGGGGCGGCACGACGCGGCTCGGGCCCGACAGTGCCCCAGCGGGGCCCTAGTACTTTTTTTTCTTCTTTGGTAGGTGATCCTTGAGACGACACAAAATCAGTTGGCTGGTCTAGGTCAAACAGATATGCAGGTCAATAGTATAAAGGTAAACTGCACTTTGAAATTAAAAGGATTTTCTCTGAAGACCAGGTTTATTTTACCTATATGTAAATAATAAAAACCTGCATTTGTATTATGGCAGAATTAAAATGCTATAATTACATTTTGTCAACAGTGTAAAAAACATCAACTGGTGTTCGCAAACGTTTCCACATTGGAAAAATGCGTACAGTGTGTTGGACCAGTGTCCTCTTTAAGGTGGACTGGCTATCAGTGTCGAGGTGAGCTATTTGGTGAAGTCTCATACATTGTTTCAAAAGCTAATTATTATACATGTCGAGGGAAAAAATGAAATTCCAGGGGCTGTTGGATGATGTTTTCTGCCTGCAGTATACAGTATGTTGCAAGAAAAAGAAGAAAATAGAATTACGATAGAGAGAGAGCAAAAATTTAGTTATATATGTGAATAAAAGGGCAATCCTATTTTCTCTTAATAAGGTACTTAAATTTATATTTTGTTTTCAAATCCAAATTTTCTTTCACTTTAACCTCACTTGCTTCAGCTCTCTTACAGCAGCTCTAAAACCATCACAAACCAGAGCAAACAGGCAAAGAGATACATTTCACATTAAACTTAACAAATAAACAATTATTATATATGAAAAGATGATATGATGCATACTTTTTCATTTAAGTTCTTTTTCTTTTCATTCCTTTCAGTCATTCTGGCATCTGTTTATTCACATCAGGGCTGCAGCTGAAATGCTGTTTAATATAAAAATAAAAATTAATAGGAAATGTTGTAGTCAGAGTGATCTAGCTGCTCGAATGATAGAGAGGGATAAAATAACACTTGTTTGGTGCTTTTGCAGTAGGTATTTTTTTGTTTTGTGACAGTTCTAAAAGTTTTAAAAAGCAGGTGATCTGCTGGCATGAAACTTGGCCATAAATGTTGCCAACCTTGCCCTTTATAGGTAGATAGATAGATAGATAGATAGATGTACTTTATTAATCCCGAAGGAAATTCAAGAGTGGTCAACTGCTCACAAGAATCAGTCACACACACATATGATATGATAAAAACAGATTATGAATAAATATCTAAAAATAAATAAAGAAATAAAGAAAAACTAATGGCAGGAGGGAGAACCAACTTGGGGACAAAGGCAGGGACAGGTAAAACAACACACCACAACAGAAACAGCGACAATGAGGACAGAAGTGTTCCAGCACTTCTGCCTTTGAGATATTCCCCCCACACCCGCTTGACTCCAGCTACTCCTACTCCTCCTCCCGTCTCTTCCTCCCGCTCAGGGAGTTGTACAGCCTGATGGCGCGGGGGACAAACGACTTTGTGTGTCTTGTTGTTGAGGAGTTCAGTGATCGTAGTCTGCTGCTGATGGTGCTCCTCTGCTGGTTGAAGGCATAGCTCAGTGGATGGCTGGCATTGTTCATAATTGCCTTGAGTCTGGTGAGTGACCTCTGCTCTGTCACCTCCTCAACAGAGTCCAGCTTCAGGCCCACCACTGAGCCTGCCTTCTTGATGAGCTTGTTCAGCCTCTGGATGTTTCTTTTGCTGCCACTGCCACCCCAGCAAGACACAGCATAGAACAGCACACTAGCCACTACAGAGTTGTAAAACATCTGTAGGAGCTTGGTGCAGATGTTGAATGATGCCAGCCTCCGCAAGAAGTAGAGCCTGCTCTGGCCCTTCTTGTAGAGGTGGTCAATGTTCTGAGTCCAGTCCAGTTTATTGTCTAGTATGAGTCCGAGGTATTTGTAACAGGGCACTATCTCGACCTCCTCGCCCTCGATGCAAACAGGGAGTGGGGCGGGGGGCTGGCGCCTGAAGTCCAGCACAATCTCCTTTGTTTTGGAGGTGTTCAGGAGCAGCTGGTTCTCCTGGCACCACCCCACAAAGTCGCTCACTAGTTCCCTGTATTCCCCCTCCTCGTTCTCCCTAATACACGCTACAACTGCTGTGTCATCCGAGAACTTCTGCATGTGGCAGAGTTCCGAGTTGTGTTGGAAATCAGCAGTGTACAGGGAGAAGAGGATGGGGGACAGCACGGTCCCCTGCGGAGCTCCAGTGCTGCTGGTGATGGTGCTGGAGATACTGCTACCGATCCTAACAAAGTGTGGTCTGTCGGTCAGGTAGTCAGATATCCAGGAGATGAGGAGGGGGTCCACCTGCATGGTAGACAGTTTTTCCTGCAGTCGTGGGGGCTGAATGGTGTTAAATGCGCTTGAGAAGTCGAAAAAAGAATCCTCACAGCGCAGCCTCCCTCATCGAGGTAGGAGTGTGTTCGATGGAGAAGGTAGAGGACAGCATCCTCCACTCCTATCCTCTCCCTGTAGGCAAACTGGAGAGGATCCTGGGTCTGCTGCACCTGTGACCTCAGGCGGTGCAATACCAGTCTCTCCAAGGACTTCATGACCTGTGAGGTGAGGGCGATGGGACGGAAGTCATTGGGGTCCTTGGGGTGTCTTGTCTTGGGGACGGGGACGATGCATGATGTCTTCCACAGTGAGGGGACTTTCCCCAGGTGCAGGCTCAGATTGAAGATGTGCTGAAGAGGGTCTCCAAGCTCCTCAGCACAGGCTCTCAGAAGCCTCGGGCACACCAGGTCGGGGCCAGCTGCTTTCCTGGGATTAAGTCTCTTCAACACCCCACTCACCTGATGAGCAGTAATGAGGGGGGGATCAGGTGAGATGGGTTGAGGGGCTGGTGTGGTGAGAGTGATGCCTGGAGATGAACAGGACGATCCAGTGAGAGGTGGTAATTGGGGGGGGTGGGAGGGGTGTGCTGATAGAGGGAGGGGGGGGACCTGCTGGAGGAGGGGGGGGGTGATCAGGTAGGGAGGTATGGGCAGAAGGGTGGAGAGGAGCCAGCTGTTGATGGATCAATGCAGTTGTGGTTGGTGTGGGGGTGGCAGGGAAGGTGGGGGCGCCAGAGCTGAACCGGTTGAAAAATGTGTTCAGCTCATTTGCTCTCTCCACACTTCCCTCAACTGGTCCTGCAGCAGTTTTTTTGCATCCAGTGATGATCTTCATGCCATCCCACACCTCCATGATGTTATTCTGCCTCAGCTTCCCCTCCAGTTTCTTTTTGTAGGCCTCCTTGGCCTCCCTTAAGCAGGTTTTCAGTTCTTTCTGCACCCTCCTTACCTCCTCAGGGTCTCCATCCCTAAACGCCTTCTTTTTCCTATTAAGGACAGCCTTCACCTCACCAGTGATCCATGGCTTGTTGTTAGCAAAGCAGCGCACTTCCCTGGCAGGCACAGCAACATCAGTGCAAAAGTTGATGTAGTCGGTCAAGCACTGTGTAGCCTGCTCGATGTCCTCTCCGTGGGGGTCAAGCAGCACATTCCAGTCAGTGCAGCTGAAGCAGCCTCTGAGAGCCTCCTCAGCCTCCGGTGTCCACCTCCTGACGATGCGCGTGGTGATTGGCTGCCTCCTCACCAGTGGTGTGTACCTGGGCTGCAGATGGATGAGGTTGTGGTCGGACTTCCCGAGGGGAGGGAGGGGCGTGGCCGAGTAGGCATCCCTCACATTGGCGTAGAGCAGGTCAATGGTCCTGTTCTTCCGGGTGGGACAGTCCACATATTGATGCATGGCCGGCAGAGTGGAGTCCAGGGTGACGTGATTGAAGTCCCCTGAGATGATGACCAGAGCCTCTGGGTGTTGCGTCTGTAACCCTGCGGTGGTGGAGTGTACTGCTTCAAGTGCCGCCTCCACGTTAGCCCTCGGAGGAATGTAAACACAGACCACGATCACCTGCGTGAACTCCCTCGGTATGTAGTATGGTCTTAGGCTAACGGCTAGCAGCTCACAGTCACGACAGCATATGACAGATTTAACACTGCAGTGTCCAGGGTTACTCCATCTGTTGTTTACATACAACACCAGGCCCCCTCCTTTACTCTTACCGCAGGCGACGGTGTCTCGGTCTGCCCTCACCGTAGTGAAGCCGGGTAGCTCCACGTTAGCATCAGGTGTGTGGGCAGTTAGCCAGGTCTCTGTTAGAATTATTAAACAGCTCTCCCGGTAAGTCTGTTGGTTCTTGATAAGTGCCGTTAACTCGTCCATTTTATTTGGCAGAGCGTTTACGTTCCCCATCAGCACCGAGGGAATCGGTGGCTTGTAGCGTTGTTGTTGTTGTTTCCTCGCTGTTACTTTAGCCCTACGCTTCGCCCCGGCACGGCTACCCCGGTATCTCCTCCTCAACTCTCCGGGTATAACGTGGCGAAAGTTCGCTTTAGTCCTCCTCAGAGCTAGAAGACTCCCTCTAGAGTAGACTATTTTTTTCTGGTAGTCAGATCTACCAGCACAGCAACCACAACATACATTCTCATTCACACGCAGAGCAGCGGACCGGCAGCCGGCTCGCACTGGCGCCATGTCTGTTTTAGTAGAAATAAATTCCACTCAATGCAGGTGAACATATCTGTAGAATCCTAGGTTGATTTGGCAGGTTAATAACTAGCTTTGTGTTACCATGAAGCATTATGTTGTATGTTAGGATTAGGATAAGGTAAATATACCCTGACTATGTTGAACTTGATCCATTGGGGGGGGGGGGGGGGGGTGCTTAAGGATCATACCAACACTGTTTTTATTGTTATGTATTTATTGTAGATTTACTATGAAATATATGAACCAGTCCTGTTATAGGGCTATTGCACATGCACATTGTGATTGAGGTAGTTTAACATTGCATGGTGCAATTGTACATTTGTCTACCATAATAAAACCTGACTTAAGTATAATGTTGATAAGGGAAAGGTTATTGCTTTTTTCTGCACACCAGATCGATGCAGTATTTTGATAAGACTACAACTAAATGAATGCACTTGAAATATGTTACAGTTTGTTCTGGACTCTGGCATAAATCCTGCCTCAGAAGAATTACTGATGGTGATCTCCATGGCCTGTTAGAGGTAAGCATTCCCACTACCCTAAAATTGACAGTGTTCTTGACATTCTAGACTGATTTTCTCTCTCACTTTTTCAGTACTCTGGGAAAGAACTGCTTGCAGATGAGAACAGCAGTTCTGAAGACAGCCTGTCTGATAAGGACTACATACCAGACTCAGAGTCACTGGAAGAGGACCATGATGATTCAGACGCAAGCTTACCTTTAGCAGAGAGTCCGAAGAAAGCTGTACAGCTAAAAAAAAAGCCAGGACTACCTGATATTCTGGCATCATGTGCTTTAGACTTAAGCTCTAAGGCTGTCCAGAATACGCCACACGGTTATCAGCCTTATAATGATAATGTTGCTGAAGAACTGGATTCAGTCAAGTCTGTCAAAGACTCATCGAAGGATAAGCTGGAGGGCAGAGCTGAGTTTGACAACCAAGAAGAACCCCATCTGACCATGTGCATCAAAAACTATTGTTTCATATGTGGGAAACCACAAAGCAAAATTTCCCGGCACTTAAGAACTCATAAGCCACATCCTGAAATTGTCCACGCCTTTTCCCTGCGAAAAAGCGAAAGATTCTAGTGGAAAGGATGAGGAATAAGGGTAATTTTAGACACAACACTACAGTTTTACAGAGTGGAACTGGAGTTCTAAAGGCAAAGAGAGCACCAAAGGCTAAAGCACAGACAGGACACTTCATTCACTGTATGTATTGTCAAGGGATGTACATTCGTAAAGAATTGTGGAGACATGTCCGCAGGTGCCCCTTTAAGCCAGAAAATGAAGACACCGAAAAGGAACCTGGGAGAACCAAAGTGCTGAGTTTGGCTGCAGCCCAAGAGACGGCATTCTCTCAGCATATCTCTAGTGGAGTGTGGAAGCTTCTAGGTAGCATGAAAGAGGATGAAGTTGCTTCAACAGTGCAAAATGATCTCACAATCATTCAGCTTGCCCAGTCTCTCTTTAACAAACACGGACAAGACCCAACAAAATATGAATACATGCGACAGAAACTGCGAGAGGTGGGTCGTTTGTTGTTATGTCTGCGCACAGATTTTTCCATACATAACCTTGAGGAAGCTGTAAAACCTTCCAACTTCCACAGAGTGGTGCAAGCTGTCAAAAAAGTTTCAGGTTTTGATGAGGAAAAACACTTGTATTTGACACCAAGTCTTGCATTGAAACTTGGACACACACTGCACAAAATCTGTGACATTATTCATTGTAGGGCACTTATGGAAGAGGATGAAGAGCTGATTAGGTCCACCGATGTGTTCAAGAAGTTGTACACCTCCAAATGGTCTGAGTTGGTGTCTCACAGTGCCCTGAACACACTGAGTGATGCAAAATACAACAAACCATTATCATTACCCTTTACAGAAAATGTCCAGAACCTTCATAGGCACCTTGAGAAATCTGTAGAAAGTGCGTCTTGCAGTTTGATGGAAAAGCCCACACCTCAGAACTATGCTCAGCTTGCAAAAGCTACACTTGCACAAATCATTGAGTTTAATCGTAGGCGTGCTGGGGAGGTTTCCAAGATGCGTCTGAGAAGTTTTCAGGAAAGAGACAACACAAAACTCCATGAGGATGTTGCAAAGGGACTGTCACGGACTGAACAGCGGCTCTGCAACCATTTTAGTCGAGTTGAAATTATGGGGAAAAGGGGCAGAAAGGTTGCTGTTCTGCTCACACCAAGCATGGTGGATGCCCTCTCATTACTAGCTAGCACCAGAAATGAGTGTGGTGTTAACACTGCAAATGTCTTCCTGTTTGCAAGACCAAAATCACTGAGCCACTACAGAGGACAGGAATGTCTACGGGTCCATGCAGAGCAGTGTGGAGCAAAGCACCCAAAACACTTGAGGTCAACGCAGCTCAGAAAGCATGTTGCCACTCTCTCACAAGTTCTCAATTTAAAAAACAACGAACTTGATCAAGTTGCTGATTTCCTGGGTCATGACATTCGTGTACATCGAGACTTCTACAGATTACCAGTTCCAACAACACAACTGGCTAAAATCTCCAAGCTGCTCCTGACCATGGAAAAAGGCCACCTGTCCAGCATACAGGGGAAGTCTCTGGATGAGATAGAACTTGACGGTTTGTAAAAGAAATACAACTTTTTTTTTGTTTGTTTTTGTGTGTTATTCTTTCCTTTTTTTTTTGAAGGCATCTTTACATATCAGAAGACGTGTTTGGATATATTTATCAAGAAAAAAATATAGAATTGGACTCCTAAGATGTCTTGGGAGACATATGTTTAGGCCCACTTAACACCATTGATTTTTCAAGCTTAAGAAGGGTTTTAAATTGTGTGGTACTCATGTGAGTTTTATTGATATTACCAGATGAAATACAGTTAAGTGATGGTGAGGCCAGGGATAGTGGCAGTGAAAGCGACAACAGTGGCACAGAAGAAACAGGCTTGGAGTGTGGTACAGGCAATCCCCGTGATCCTGTTCCAGAGTCTACGGTGACAGAGCAGGTCCATGACACTGGAGATTTGGGTGGGTTTCTCCATTTGATTGCGTTTCAAATTATTCAAACCTCTATTTCTGTAGAAAGAAAAACTCACTTTTGTTGAATGATGTTTCCAGCAGAAACAGGATCAGTGTCTTCCACAGTAAATGAGACTGCCCTTCCTTCTGAGGGTAAGCAAAGTCTTACTGTAAAATGTTTTATAACAGAAACAAGTATTGATCCATGTTCTTCTTTACTTCATTATGTAAGATATATCATTTCATATCTTTTAGGAGACACTGCTGTTCAAGAGCGTGGTCCCAGAAGACTGACAAAGAAACCCTGGTCAAAGGCTGAGGTTGCAGCAGTAATACGGCATTTCCGAAAACACATAAGTAAAGGGCAGTTGGCGACCAAAAACAAATGCAGTCACTGTAAGGAGGTAGAGGACCCCGTGTTGGCAGGTAGAACAGTACAAAACATTAGGGACTTTGTTAGAAACAGAGGGACAGCATTAAAGAGGCAGTCACAGAAAGGCAGGCTGTAAAGGGTACAAAAACTGTGTTTTTGCTGTGTGTTCCTAGTGATTATGCAGTTGCAGAAGTTGCTAGAAAGGTAATGTATGGCAGTATTTTTGTTTAAAAATGGTTTGCAAAAGTGTAAATATGCAAATGTGTGAACCTATTATTTAGTATATGTGTCTATTTAAGTTGATGAGTATAGGTTGTTGTTTACACCATACCTTCTCTCCAGTTGAGCTGTGTAAGACTAATAAGTGTGTATGATGATTGGAGAAATATGTCTGTTGAAGTAATGCCCCCAGCCTGGTGCTCATACCTAGGTGTTCTATCTTGCTTTGTGCAGTGAATCAGCTCCTGCTAAAGCTGGACATGATCATGTCCAGATCATGCATATTTCAGAAAAAGAGAGATACACTATTTGGTAGGAGACTTTTTTAGGACACTGGTTGAATATGACTCATAAAGTCAAGACAGTTCAGCAAAGCTGAACAGATCAAAGTAATGCACAGCTAGCCTGGGTTTAGAGCCAATAGACCCCATCCATTTGCTTTTTGATTTGTGTAAGCTTTGGTGGATCGACACTTTTGGATCAATTTACACATTTGCAAATTGTTTGTTTATAATAATATTTCCTTGGTTTGCAAGGTTATCATGTTTTGGGACAGGTTGTTTGTCTGTAAGTGCTACAGTTTGTTTGAGCTTGGTTGAAAATTTAAGCCAGTGTGGCAGTCTCCAAAAACTGTTGGTTCAACCCTGTCAAGGCTTTGGGTATGTTGTCAGTGAACCAGTGGGTCACATCACTGTTGCTGTTTGTTATTCTGTCTGCTAATGGTTAAGTTTGTATTTTTTGTAGTGCTGATGTTTTTAACAGCAAAGGTTCTCTCATCTCAAGATATTTGCAAGTAAGAATAGATGATGTTGCATTAAAAAAACACCTGTTTTTTTGTTTAATTTAGTGGGACTTCTTCGATAGGCAGAAGGGTTGTTTGCCAAACTTATATAAGATGATGTTATACTGATAGACTGTATACTGTAGTGGACAGAGCCATACCAGTCCAGAGTTAAGCTGTTCAAGAGTTCATTATTCTGCCACGTTTAGTTGTCAGTACATATTTTATGTTAATAACTTGAATGGCAATTTCGTTGACCAGCCCATATAGCGTTTTTTGGCAGATAAGTAGAGGAGGAATGAATAGAGAACACAAAAAACTAATAGATAAAGAGCCCTCTAACTTTACATAGCTGTGAGTGTTTGCTAAAAACCAGCTAAGGAATCTGTTCTGCTGTTGATTGTTCCAACCTGAAGGAACTTTGGCATGTTATTGGAAGGTTAAATGTGTGTTTTGGTAAACAGAGGTGGTGTCCTGGACTATAGCTGCCCATTTACTCTTGATGCAAATGTCCTCTATGGCACAAACTCTTTAAATAATGCAGCTTCACCTAGGTAGAAATAAAGGAGGCAGGAATCCTCTGTCCATTGAATAAACAGTCTATGGTTATATGGCTTTAAACTACTTTAGTTCAGTAATAAATTGCATGTCCCAACAATACTGTGTTCTGTCATGTTTGTGTGTATATGCTAATGAGGTGGGATTTAAAGGTGATGTCACTGTCCCTTTAAAGTCCGGATAATGTTTTTTGTGTCCCTATACACCACATATTTGTCAAAAATCCATCTGTCCGCCTAAACCACCATTTTGTTAGGGGGCTGTGTATAAGGCCCCTGTAGCGATTTGAATTTATAATAAATGTCTGAAGATTAATAATCTCAAATTATGACATTTATGCACTCGTTGAAAGGGGCACCACCCACCCTTAATGGTGGGAAAATAAAGAACAACAAAAGTTTAATTCAGAAATCAAACATTAAGTCAATCTTAAATTAATCAATCTCATATCTTAAGCCGAAATTCTCATTTCAGGGACTCCATTTCTGGAAGAACACTAACAGACAAGAACTTAGAAAAATAATGATCTGTTTATTACAGGATAAATGATGGTACAACATACATGCAATAAATGATGATAAGATAATGAGGATAAATAATAATAGGTGACTAAATAAAGATTCTGAGTCAGGCTAGGAGCACTAAAGTTAATGATAGTGAGTGAATATGTGCTAACATATTAACCTACACTAACTTTGGTGTCGAGATAAACTCGGATGTGGATTTGGAGGAATCTAAGATTACCAGAATAAGTGGATATCTGAGTTATGAACGCATGAGACAGCATCAGCCCTGTTTGGAGCTCTGGAGGTTTGCATACTTAAGTGAGACTGGTCCTTGAAGAAGATGGAGCAGGTTCCGAAGGTCCGGGGCTACCGGTGGTTCAAGCGATTCAGCTCAGAAGACGACTGAAGTCAGCTGAAGGATGGGCCAGGAGTTGTAGCACTCGGGGCCTGAAGTAAAGCCGGCGTCTGTGGATCCTGTGGATGCTCGTTTGGATGCTTCTTTGGTCTCACTCAAAAACTCTGGCACAGAAGATGACCTGGCTCTGCTGGGTTGCGTTCAGAGATGACTTTGAAATCACGCAGATAACTCAGAAAAACAAGGTTTCGATGACCAGAGAAAACGTTCAAAATTGGCTTCGCGAATTTAAAGAAAAATCAATCAAAGGCTTAATCTTGAATTGCTATGCGCACAAAAAGTTGAAGTTTCAAAACTTGATCTAAGACGATGTTAAAGAAGAATCAATGTGAATCAACACGTGGCGTAAAACTTAGAAGACTAAGAAAAAGTAAGACTAAGTAGTAAGAGCTAAGAGAAAATGAAGAGTGTATAAGGGCAACAAGAGAGTAAGGGCACTAAGAGCGAAAGGGGAGAAGAGCGGAGAAGAAGAGATTGAGCAACCCCACTTCACTGGTTTTATCTTCTCACACTGGGAGTGTCTCCAGCATGTGTATGTGTGAGGAGAAAGAGGAGGGGTCGTGTGGTCTCCAAGCAGAGGAGACCTCGGATCTCTGATTATTTGATCTAACTTATACTTTTGGCTGGTAAAAGAGTCAGATCTGATACTCACTCACTATGATTAATATCATTGAATGCTTGGTTTCATGATAAATAATTTGATACTAAACACATATGAATGAAGTGTAGGATCACATCAAACATTCTCATTATGTTTTAAGTATCACATTGAACATGCTAAATTACTCTGAAATGAAACTGATAGTAACACATGGAAACTGTGAACAACAAAAGAGTAAACATATATGAATGAACTTCATCATGGTTAATAATGGACTCTAAATACTCACATTCAGATTATTCAATGATATTATAACCACCTAATGGTTAAAATACTAAATAAATGATTAAAATATAGACCAAACATTTCTAAACCATTTCTGTTACCTAGAGTAAAGTTATGATTCATAGTCAATAAATTTAACTCTTAAAAGTTCATGAAACAGTCTGAAAAGCTGTTGGTCTAAAGAACTTAAGAATAAGGATTTGTTCTGTCAGAGTGATAACTTGGCTTTTGGAGCACATAGAAAAATGAGAAACATCTCATTTTAACACAAATTTCATGATTAGACAGATTAGTACATTGCTGAATGCATAAGATGTCATGATCAGTCATTTGTATTCTTTCACCAAAGGAACGCAGTTTTATCAGTACATGGTTGAGCAGGGTTTTAGACCGAGGTCTGGAGGTCAGTGTCCCCCCTTATCCTGGGGTCCGTATGTTCACACACTTTAAGACGTTAAATCTCAAATGGGAGATCTGGGTTGAAGCGTTAATGTTTATTTAGATGGTCAGCGATGGAGTCAGTTTGAAAGGTAATAAAAACTCTGTCTCTGTTCTCCGAATTGACCAATCGTGAAGAGTCAGAGGTTTGGTCAACCTCTGGTCGGGTCAGTTAAGTAACCTGAAAGTGCAAACAAGTCTGGAAATATTTATATCCTGTGTCCTGGGACCAGATAAGGAAACTTTCCTGTGAGGAATGTGTGAGTTTCACATCCAGGGTTATCTTGATTGCTACACCCTGTAGGGTGTATCTGAAAGCTAAAGTGACCCAAATTTTTTTCAGAATTTTTAGAGTAATTTTAGCTTACTCCCAGAGCTCTCAGGCCATGGGAAGGGGTAGTCCATGTAAACCACCGCCGGGCTGGTTTGGCGAAAAAGTCCAGCTAAATCATATAGGCCCGTATGTGTGTGTGTGTGTGAGAGAGAGCGTGTGCGTGCATGTGTGTGTGTGTGTGTGTGTGTGTGTGTGTGTGTGTGTGTGTGAGAGAGAGAGCGCGTGCGTGCGTGTGTACATGTGTCTGTCAAATAACATCTCTAATCAGAATTTCTTTTCTCCATATCTAGAGCCTGTACGCTGACAGTGGAGATTCCATTGCAAGAGGTCCTTCTTCCCCACTCTTGTTTGAGGATGAATGTTCCACAGAGAGTGAACCTCACTTCAATGATGAACCTAATGGCAGTGAAACATCACCAAATACCAGTAACTTTATCCCTGATAACTTGCATGACAGTCTTGGATCCATTACTGGAAGTGAAGAAGAACACTCCCTTTTATTTGAAGATAGTCCTGATGAGTCAGTAAATTCTGAAACACAATTTGGAGAAGTCAGTCATGATCGGTCTCCTCTGGAAAATGAAGACGCCCTTTACACTGGTTCACGACTAACACAATCTGAGAGTTTTTTACTTATACTTTTCATTTGTTTTGAGACATGGACTAACAGGCTCTGTCTGATCTCTTAGATTTGATCAATATCCACTGTCCAGAAAACACACAGTTAACCTCAAAGTATTTGTTCTTAAAAGAGCTTAAGCCGGTAGAAGGTCACTTACAATGTCACATATATTGTCCAAACTGTGAGTACTACATCGGTGACCAGGATAGTGAAGGACAATGTGTTGTATGCAACACAACATGGGATAAAAATGTCTCTCTAAAGAATGGAAACTTCTTTATATATTCACCAATCCAAAAACAGTTGGAACATCTTCTTCAAAGGGAGGATATTGCACATTGTCTTAAGTCGAGAGATGGCACATGTAATTCTGAAATTTATGAAGATATTGGAAGTGGTAAAATGTACCGTAATCTGAAAAAAATTGGAGGTCCGCTTGACTGTACTCATGGGTACTCCTTAACACTTAACTGTGATGGAGTGCCTGTATTCAAATCATCACTCTATGGTATTTGGCCATTATATGGTATTGTAAACGAGCTTCCTTACCCTGTCCGCAAAGAAAATGTTCTACTTTTTGGCTTGTGGTTTGGTGATAAAAAGCCAAATGTTAATTCATTTTTAAAGCCATTCACTTTAGAGTGTCAGAAGTTGTCAACTGTGGGCTTTAAGATAAAAAGAAACAGCATTTTGGAGCCATGTAGAGTTGTGGCAGCTCTTATGATCTGTGATTCGGTAGCTAGGCCCTTACTTCAAAACATGACCCAGTTTAATGGTCAGTATGGATGCAGCCTCTGTTTACATCCCGGTGAACAAGTTGAAAAGGGTCACAGCACTGTCAGGGTATATCCATACAAAGGTGTCCCAAAGAGGGACCACGCTTCAACCATAAGTGATGCAAGAGAGGCTTTACATACCAAAAAATCTGTGAGGGGTGTTAAAGGGCCCACATGTCTGATAAAAATTCCACACTTTGACATCATATCTGGCATGCCTCCTGACCATATGCATAATATACATCTTGGTGTGGTTCACCAAATGGCAAGCATGTGGCTGGTCAGTGATAACCATGAGAAGCCATACTACATTGGGAATAGAGTGAATGAATTGATGAACAGCTCTTGCTTATTAAGCCTCCTTGCAATATCACAAGAGTGCCCCGATCTCTTCAGCAAAGGAAGTTTTGGAAGGCTAGTGAATGGCAGAACTGGTTACTGTTTTATAGTATCTTTGTACTTAAAGGAATTCTGCCCCAGGTATTTTACCAGCACTGGTTAGTCCTTGTCATATTTATGTTCTTACTTTGCAAGGACACTATAACAACAGAGGATGTGATAAAATGTGAAGAACTTGTTGCAGATTTTGTCAAACAATTTGAAACACTGTATGGAAAGACCTATGTGTCATTTAATATACATTTATGTCTTCATTTACCAGAGACTGTCAGGAATTGGGGACCTTTGTGGACTCATTCGGGATACATTTTTGAATCCTTTAACAGTGAAATACTGAAAATGTTTCATGGCACTCAATGTGTTCCTTTACAGATAATGAAACAATTCACATATAGACAAGTATTGCCTCTTCTGAGTAATGATGCAATGAGAAATGCTGTTCCTGAATGTATCCAGCTATTTAATAACTTAAGTGGCTGTAAAAGACTAAAGCAGTTTGAAAGAGTAGGCAATCAACTTGTTACACTTGTAGCTGGGCAGATAACTGTAATAATCGTTCACTTGCGGATAAAAGCACCATAATTGGCACACATACTCCTTAGAAGTTGCTCTTTTGATATTTCCGTCTGGCCAAATGAAAATTCAAGATGGCGGCCATTTTTCAAGATGGCCACCATTGAAAATACAGTTATATTGCATTTTGCAATAAAATCCCAAAGACCTGTCCTATTTGGATGAACTTGGTGTCAAATCATACATTTTCCACTATGCAGAATCCAAATTTGGACCCATGGACTTACTTACTGGCTTCCTTGTACCATATTTCAGTCCTGGAATCCTAATATTCTGATCCTAATTAGGTCTACATCATGTGAGACTCGAGTAAAATGGTTGGTAGCCTATATCTTAGTGTGGTTAGAGGTCTAGTTTGTGTGTGTGTGTGTGTGTCCTCACTGCACATATCAGTCCCAGAATCCTAATATTCTGATAATCCAGAATTTCACCTAAAATGCATGGTAGCACCATGGGATCACTTTTTGTCTGGTCTCTATCCTTCGAGCTGTTTGGCGTGGGTGACCCTGCCAGGAGTACAATACTCAAGCCGGCATAGCTCTAGGGGTCATGGAGACACACAAAGTGCCCCACCATGATAAGGTGGTGATCCTACCGAGGCAGGGTTTTTTTTTTTTTTTTTTTTTTTTTTACATGTAGGCTTTTTGGATGAGTAGGCTTTTACTACAGCGTTTCTAAACCTCACACCTGCAGCTGCACAATGCTGTGCAGGTCAGAGCAAAGCAGTAGCATTTGCATCGACCGCAGCATTCCAACTTGCATCCACACTTGGCCAGCTGCTGGCAACTCTCTGCAATAGGTGGGAGCTCTGTCCAAACAATCTGCCACAGATCTCCTTTCTTGTTCCAGCCCCAGTTGGCAGGACTATGTGTTTCTGGTTGACATACTATTGACTGACTCCAGATGCAGCCCGCTTGGTAGGATGTACGCATGACATATTGCTTAAGTGCTGATCGAGTTGGAGGAGTGGCTTAGTACGGCCTCTGCTTCCGAGCAAACATGTCCAACCTTGCATCGTCGACACCTTCAGCTGTGCTCTATCTGTCGTACAACATGACCACAAACTTCTCTAGGGTTTTCAGGTCTTCATCATCCAATACAGGTGGGTAATGGCTGAGTTTGCTGAAGACACTGGAAGCCTCATCACAAACATTCCCTTTGCCATGGAATGCTGAAACAACATCGCAACCAGTGAATGCATGGAACAAGAGCATCCCTTTGCTCTTTTCTGCAAGAGTGCCACACAGGTCATGAACAGGAATCCACTTCAGGTTCTGTCTTTGGCCAAAGGCAACCCACAACTGCTGCAGACCGAGGTTCTGAAGTGCCTGCAGAACACTCACTGCGAAGACAACAACATCTGTGTTGTTGGCTTCGACCATGATGACCTTGCTGCCTGCTTCTGTGGCATGCCTGGCATGCACAAAGATCTGGGTGTCAGCTTCTTCATGACTGCATGGTGCCACCCCAGCCAGATTAATAGTAATGTTGTAAGAAAGTGTATGTGCGAGTGAGAAGTGTTGCCTAATATTTAAGTGAGATGTAATGCAGGCAGGCCAGTCAAAGGAGAGCTGTATTACTCACAGGAGTTCACAAGAGTTGTGAAAAGGAACAGCTTCACTGTGCTGTTGCAGAATGGACACATTATCACTGTATACTATTACATTGTAGTGGGGCAACATGGTGACAGGAAATGTTTTGCTTTTGGAAGAAAGTATGACAGATCACATAGCACACTGATTAATGTTGAAAATGTAGTTGGTCTGAAAAGGGAATTCCGGGGCAGGACAATATGCAAGCCTCTATGCATGTATACCTCCAAGATCCAGTGTGGAGGATTGAAAATGTAAAAGGCAAAGAACATTTCAACTGTCAAGGGGGGAAAAAAAGTATAAATTATCTCTGAATACGTTTTATACAGTAAAAGGATGAAAGTGGTCTTTAAACAAATAAAAATGTAATTTGTGTAAAGTAGATTCTTTTGTCTTCACTGTATTTTATTTAGTAGCAATTCTATGTATGCTCCATGTGTATGCTATGGATGTTTATTTGGAAAGTATAAAAGTAAAGAAAAATAAATCATAATTTTTAAATATGATATACATATATATGGTAGAATATATATGCATATATGGTAGAATATATATCTATATATTGCGTAATATATATGAATATATGGCACTTTATATGTATCCATATATGGCACTGTATAGATATCCATATATTTTACCATATTTATCAGTATATGGCACAATATATATGCATATATGGTAATATATATTTATCCATATAAGGTACTATACAGATATCCATATATTATACCATATATACCTGTATATGGAGACCACAGCGGGGATGGTTGCTCTTTTTGGTCACTGTTGTCCTCACCGACAGGGACTGGTGAGTCCACATTATTGACCTCGATGCTATCCATCTGATCGCTCTCCACTATCTTGTCGATCAACTGGATACTGCCCAACGTTGTGAAGTTGTTCAATGACACATCGTGTTGGGTATGGTTACCCACAGGGATCTCAAGATAGGGCTGCTTGACTTGGTGGACTTCGACCAAGCCATCACCAATATCCAGCTCCTCCAATCTCAGGTCTGGATGGTTGACCTTGAACAGGGCCACAGAGGAGGTGAAATCAGCAGGCACCTTGCATTTGATATGGGTAACTTGGCCTGGGCGGACCACAATGTCTTGGCGACTGACTCTCACCATCGCATGGTGCCAGTTGGACTCTCGGGTTTGTATCAGGTTCACCATTGTCTCAGCCTTGTCATCTTCCAGCTGCATGGCCTCTCTCAGTAACTTGCCAATTACAGCAACGACTTCAATGTCACTCTCCCGTCCTAGGATGAGCTCTTGAATAACATTGAAGCCCAATATTGGCCTCACAAGACCGGCATGGCTGACCAGGAAGGGTAATCTGATGCCGAGATTTAGATCATCGTTGCCGGGTAGGTTAAAGGTGAGTTCCACCCATCCGTCATATGGGATCTGTCCTCCATTGGCTGCCGTGAGATCCAATCCTCTATTTCCTATGAGTTCACTGAGGGGGCGCACTTCCTGTTGAGGTATGTATTTGTGTTTCCATGATTTGTCGATAATACTAACTTGGGCCCCAGAGTCTAGAAGGACAGTCACAGCATACCCACTTAGATTGCATTTTAACAAGCATTTTTTTCCAATCAGCTTAGCTACCCGCTGTGAGGGGGACTTATCATCGGCTGATGAGTGGGAAGGGGTGGCAAGATGGTGATTGACTTGTACAGGTACAGGTTTTGTACTGTCTGTATGGGACTGAAGGTTTATGCCGGTCACAGGTGGTCCCTCTGCTGTGACCGGAGGGAGTTTCCCGACTGCTTTGGTCTCTTCAGGCACCCGACAGCACGATGTCCAACTTCTCCACAGGCGAAACAGTGTTTGCAGTTGGGGCAGCCATTTGCAACACAGTTAGGGCAGCCATATGACCTCTCTTTTCTTGCTTGTCGACACTGTGTAGTGGAGCACTCGTAAGTGGACCGGGGCTGAAGCTCAGGTGGAGACACTTTAGCTTCAGCTTTTGACTGTAGTGAGGTTACGACTTCAGTCAGAGCCTGTACTTCAGCGCTTAGCTGCTGAATGAGCTCATCTTTTGCTTTTGTGTCAGAGGCAGGCTTTGCTTTGTCCGCCTCACTAGTGGTGATTTCACCACTGTGAGCTTGGGCTGTCTTGGGGCGAGCACTGCGTCCCAAGCGTTGCTTCCTCTCACTTTCTTCACTTGTGGTTTTGATGATTTGTCTTAGAAGCCTATCATCTGTGACTGCAGGGTCCGATAGGAGGGGCTTTAACTCTCGTCTGATGTTATCATGCTTCTCATTCAGGCCCTGATAGACTGTGCGAAGAAAAACGGGGAGTGGGATTGTAGGAAGCTCTTCAGCTCGGCTATGGTCATGTCATCCTTGCTGGAGAGCATATCCTTGAAGTTCCCAGGCTTTATAATGCGAAACACTGCTCGTATGACTTCACCCTCAGTGTGCATTTCTCTCAGTTCTTGATCAATCTGCTTGCTGATGTTGCTGTAGGTTACATCGGATGCATTATCGCCAATCTGCCCAGCATGTACCTTGAATTCCTTCTTCTGGAGGAAAGGGAGGTCCTTGAGGGCAATCATGCTTTCAGTACGGTGAGTGGGATGTTGTTCAGGGTTAGGATGGGGGAATGGTATGACAGGTGAATCGTGGGAATGGGGAGGGTGGTGTGTATCAGTTGTGGTGTGTGAACTGTGGGACTGGTGAGAATCAGTGGGTTGAGTATTGGAAGCGATGTATGGACTGGTGTGTGCAGACTGGCATGAATCTGTAGGGTGAGTGTGAGTTATGGTGTATTGAGGCTTGCGTGTAAGTTGGTGAAAAGTAGAGGATTGGGTGTGGGTTATGGTGTGTGGAGTAAGTGTAGCCCCACCCTGTCTAACCTTTTGGCGCAAATCATCACAAGTGGACATCAGCTTACTAATTTGCAATTTGATGGCCTCGGTTTGAGCAACTAAATCAACTGGGGTGGTGTCAGAGTGTGACTCTGTAATGTGTGGTAACATGTGTGTCGGTGTGAACACTCTCAGATAAGCGTAATGAAACATCAGATACAACCGGTACATCAACACCAGCTGTGGCAGCACCACTCTTACTACGGTCAGCAACAGTTTCAGCAATAATCTTAAGCAAATCATTTAACTTTGACATGCCAAAATCATCTGACTCTAGCAGATCAGTGCTCTCCATGTATGAACACAAGTAATCAATACAAACCTCTTCATCTTGTTTGACCAACTTAGCTTGAGCAGGCTCTTGTGAGATGAGCGTGGCAAGCTGCAGCAGTTCATCTGAAGAAAGGTTGAACAGCTTCTTCTTTACGATCCAAGTGAACTTCTTCCTCTCGTTGTCTGCTATCGTGAACATCAATCAGACACCCTCAGCTCGTGAAGTCCTCGCTCTGGCAACAGTCAGATGCCCTTGACTCTCACAGCTCCTCGCTCTGATGATGCAGCACCCTGGAACACAGGTTCAGGAATCACTAGATCCACGTCCTACTCCAACCACCAGGTGGCGCCGATCCCAGACGAGCCCCCACAAATCTGTTACAGGTCTCAGGTCGAAGACCCATAGGCAGATAAGGTTATTCTACTGGAAAGCTATGGTATAGCCTGTTAAAACAAGATTGAAAGAATGAGACAATCACAATGCTATTTCCCAGTCAGCCTTCTTCAGTAGAATGCGGCATATTTATTGAATCACAGCCTAAATTATCTCCTTCTATCTTTTTATCTTGTTCTTTTCTTTTTTGTTCATCAATCAAAAGTAATATAGTCACAATATTTTCTTTTCATCATCATATTATCATACATTTCAATTGGATTCACATCTTCACATTTAGTCATCCTCACCATGTCATCATCACCATAATTTAGCTATTCACATGTTAGTTACTGTTACTACTTATTTGGCATATGTTGACCAAAACAAAGAAGAATACAGGGAATGCCCCTTTAATATCTGTCATAGACAGTAGTGGCACCATTAAGTGGAAATAAACTAGCACTTTGCAACAAATATCAAATACTAAGCAGGCTACTCGGTAAGTATGCTAGTAGTGCATGACTGAGTTCGAGTATTGACTTTGGAAAAAACGTTTTTAAGCTACGTGCTTTAAGTGCACAAGAATATATAAAACTCTTACTATGAAAATACTGTCACCAGAAATCGTTTTTACCACTTCTAACTTAATGCAAAGAATGAGCTGGAGCCCAAAAACGCAGTGTATCCTCAGCACCAAGCGGGGTGGAGAACCCCCATTTTAGAAGCGGAATACAGGAATTAACAACAGGTTGTACCTGTACACAATAGCTTCACAAAAATCAATCTCGAAGGAAAATAAGAACTTAAGCCGCAGCTGTGTGCAGTTTAAGACACTTTGGTGTGGTACAAACCTGTTAAAAAAGGAATGAAAGAATGAGATGATCACTACGCTATTTCCCAGTGTGCCTTCCTCAGCAGAAGGAAGTTGTGAATCGCCACACTGCCCTCTAGTGGTGGCAACACTAGGAATGTCCCACTGTTTAGTGTTTTTCAGCGAATTTGAAAGAATGCAAGTGAATAATTGTCCATGTTGCTTCAAACAGAAATAGAATTATCTTCATAGAAATATCATCTTAAAAATAAAACGAAAATGATTACATTAACAACAAAAATGTGACCAGACATCTTGTGTGCGTCACATAAACATTTTAATGATGATCGATTTCAGCCGCCGCATTTATCAAGACCCGATCATACATACGCTGGGATTGGTCAGATACGAACCCTTTCATAAATCTCACGTGTGTCCTATTGTACGATGAATACTGCGCTCAGATCTGCGCAAAATTGATAAATAAGGGCCACTGTGTTTTTGTATTCTCTTGTAAAACTTCACAATTAAGTGCCATTACTTTTAAATTACTTCATAGTTATCCTGTAATCCATAAATAGATTTCTGCATATCCTCACAGTACTCGTGTTTCCTTGCTAAACTTTTAACTTATGTTTCTATGTTACTTTTAACAAGATCCAATAACATTAAAGCTTCAACGTTTTTTTTGTTTTTGTTTTTATAACGCTTACTGGCCCTCATTTATCAAACTTGCGCAGATTTGAGCGCAGGATTCATCGTACAATAGGACACACGTGAGATTTATGAAAGGGTTCGTATCTGACGAATCCCAGCGTACGTATCATCGGGTCTTGATAAATGCGACGGCTGAAATTGATCGTCATTAACATGTTTATGCCCTTAAATATTCATGGTTCAGAAGCCTCACCCACTGAGGTCAAACACGAAAGAATAGAAATATTAGAAAGATTTGAAACTTTTCCGAGCTGAAACTGAATATCCTCAGATCTGTGGTGGAAACTAACAAGGATTTGCTCTTTGGAAGCATCAAAACTGGTATCAAAGCAGTCCAGAAAACTCAAAAAGTTTGAATCAATCATTAGTTAATAAGTTGCTCATGATGATAAATTAATATCTCATACATGAGATAAATTAATAAATTAATATCTCATACATGCCTCATACTTTTTATTGCCATGACATAGGGTACATTGCTCCTGTTATTGAAAGTATTTAGTTTTAATTTGTTGTGTCTTTGTGATATAGCGCAGACTCAAGAGTCTGACAGAGGCTGAACAAAAATAATTATTAACCTCACCAAACAGTGTGTTGCTACCCCTGAGGCCCATTTTTATGGATTCTATTATCACTGATTAAATAGCAAGAGCACTTTCAAAACTTATACTTCACGTCAGAATCCATTGCTAAGGTCCTGTCTCCTCTGTACAGCACCTTGGTGGAGTCTCTCCTCGTTATTGTTCTCCGGGCATCGGGTCCTCACGTTGCACCGGCACAGCCAACGGCACTCCATTCGCCAGTGCAACATTGTGCAAAACTGCGCTGGCTCAAATGATGTCCCACACCCTTTCAGGAGTGTACAACAACTGCTGCTGGGCCAAGACAGAGCTACCTGCCTTTTAGGAGTCCTGCTCTATGGCAGTGTTTCTGGGCAGAGTTATCAAACAGACCTATTCACCAAGGACATAACAAATTTATTTTATTTTATTTACATCTTAATCTTTAATGAAATCTGGCTGATTGTGCTTAATGACAGGTTTGAGGTTTGTATATCAATTATTTTGAGACAGACATTTGCTTCACCGCAGATCCACACTGACTCAAACTTGCGCACACTATGTCTGACCTGTCGTGAGATTCTCATGTGCAGATTGATAAATGCCGATCCTCACGTCAAAATTGTCGTACGCAAGGTGTACGCAAATTTTCTGCTGTACGCCAGCTTGTGAGGGCCACTGGACCAACCAGAAGTCATACTTATGCCTCTTTGTGATAAACAGAAACAAGCAACACCATCAGCAATTGGTGTGATTCATGGTTCATGGTTGCCGTGCTGCTGTGGAGGTCAGGGCAAAGTTGAAGACTAGAAAATTGAGATATAAACCCTTTTTTCCATCAATCATGGGACACGTCAACTCTCTGCCCAACAAAAGTGATGAACTTGAGCTATTGGTGACGACTGAGAAAGCATGCAGTAAGTGCAGTCTCCTGTGTTTTACTGAAACCTGGTTGAATCAAAACAACTCAGATTGCAGTGCAGATCTGGCTTCACTCTCAAAAGATAAGACAGAGATGCTAAAGCTATTAGCAAGAGGAAATGAGGAGGTCTGGCTTTATTTGTGAACCAGAGATGGTGTAACCCTTCACACATAATTGTCAAGAAGAAGTTGTGTTGTCCACATATTAGCCTGTTGGCAGTTGCTCCTCCCTTATATAATGTTCAAAGAGAATTCAGTCATATCATGACAATACTTGTATACATCCCACCCAAGTCAAAATTCTGTGTTTGGTGTCAGGTTTCATTTGATTGGGATCAAGTTGGACTCACTGGAGGGTGTGGTAGAGAGATGCACACTGAAGAAGATAGAGGCTATTCTAGAGAACCTGGATCATCCACTTCATGTTACATTGATGGACCAAAAAAAAAAAATATGGTAGTGGATGGAGAGATTCAGAAAATCTTTTGTACCCAAAGCTATCAGACTGTTTAATTATTCTATAAATGGTAGATGAGATGATATCCCAGATGAATTTCCCTTTGGGGATCAATAAAGTTCTTGTATTGTATTGTACAAAATAAGCAATGGCTGCTTTGTTGACAGGGGGCGCCATAATTGACATAAACCAAAAGGTAAACAGTGTAGTCAGTCCTCATCACAGAAGATACTTCCCTTTTTCCCCTTTCCTCCCTTATCTCCGACATTATTGTTACACACCAAAAAACACACATACACACTCAACAATATCTGTAATTGTAATCTTTCAAGAAAGCAGGTCAGAGGTATGGGTGATTGGATTTACTTTAACTTCTACCCTCAGCCCACACACTGTTTTTTTTTTTTTTTTTAAACTCTTTATTTCTCAAAATTTCTTTTAACAACAAAGGTGTGAATAGAAAAGTAGATGGAAATAAAAACAAACAAAAAAAGAACTAAACAAACAATAAAGAGGTCATGGGGTGTATATCACAGGCATAGCGGGTAAATATACATTGAATACCTATATATGCTGGGGCTGTACAGTCGCAGCAAGACCCGTCTCTTCATTATTATTAATATATGTATACATACATACATACTTCATACTTATTGTTCTTCCTTCCCCTTCTATAATGGTGTTACAATGTTTTGAGTTACTAACACTGCATTAAAGTCAGACCTATTGTCACGGTTCAGGCACCGAGGCTCAAATGCGGACAAAGAGACTCAAGTCAGAGCAGTTCAATTAAACAGATATTTATTTGGTCCCAAAATGCAAACAGAAATAGGAAAACGGAACTAAGGTGGGCAGTAACAATTAACAAAAAGCGCTGTCTGAAAAACGTGAGACAGGATCAGTAATAATTAACAAAAAGCGCTGTCTGTAAAAACGCGAGACTGGAACAGTAGTAATTAACAAAAAGCGCTGTCTGCAAAACGCGAGACTGGAACAGTAATAATTAACAAAAAGCGCTGTCTGCAAAAACGCGAGACAGGGTCAGAACAATTAACAAAAAACGCTGTCTGCAAAACGCGAGACAGGGTCAGAACAATTAACAAAAAAGCGCTGTCTGCAAAACGCGAGACAGGGTCGGGTACTACCAGAGCTAGCGAGAGAGCGAGTGAGCAGGCAGTCCGTGATTTCCGACTGGAGGGGGGAGAGGCAGGTGGTGATGGCGTGACGCGGCGTCCTGGACGGAGCTGGGATGAAGAGCAGGAGAGCTGGGTACGCAGGCGGGAAGAGCAGGCGGAGTGGGCAAGGGATCTTCAGGTTACAGTCCAGCGTCGGGTTGTGGGAAGCGTCCGGTTTTTATGGCAGCGGGTGAATGAATGAGAGCGCTCCTCTCCCCGCCACACGGATCGATCCGCTGATTAGAAAGTGGCTGCACCTGTCCGCCCTGAAGCTGCATCACACCAACACCTGCTTAGAGAGAGGGAGAGGAGGAGAAGAGGGAGGGGGGAGAAGAGAAAAGAGGGAGAAGAGAAAAGAGAGGCTGCCCCTATCTGGCCCTAGAAGTAGAGGGCGTGACAGTACCCCCCCCCCACGTGCACCTCCAGGTGCACGAAGGCGCTTCTCTGGGTGGCGGCGGTAGAGGTCGCTGACCAACGTGTGGTCCAGGATCTGGCGACGGGGAACCCAGCTGCGCTCCTCTGGCCCATATCCCTCCCAGTCGACCAAGAACTGGACCCCTCTACCCCGCCGACGGACATCCAGCAAGCGACTGACAGTGTAGACTGGCCCATCGTCCACTATCCTGGGCGGAGGAGGGGGATGGACGGGTGGGGCCAAAGGACTCTCCCGTACCGGCTTCAGCTGCGAAACATGGAACGTGGGATGAATCTTCATGGACCGGGGCAGCTTAAGCCGGACGGCAGCGGGGTTAATGACCCTCTCCACCTCGAACGGACCGACAAAGCGTGGGGCCAACTTCTTTGACTCCACCCGGAGTGGGAGATCCTTGGCCCTGAGCCAAACCTTCTGGCCCGGGGCGTAGGCAGGAGCAGGGGAACGGCGACGGTTGGCCTGTTGCTCCATTCTCAAGGAGGCCCGGCGGAGGGCGACCCGAACCTTCCTCCAAGTTCGTTTGCACCTCCTGACGAAGCTTTGCACCGAGGGTATGACAATCTCCTCTTCAGAAGCTGGAAACAGGGGGGGCTGGTATCCCAGGACGCACTGGAAGGGGAACAGTCCAGAGGAAGAGTTAGACAGGGAGTTGTAAGCATACTCCACCCAGGGGAGTTGATTGCTCCAGGTCGTAGGGTGTTCTGAGGCCACACAGCGTAGGAAAGTCTCTAGAGACTGATTGGCCCGTTCCGTCTGGCCGTTCGACTGTGGGTGGAAACCAGAAGAGAGACTGACCGTGGCCCCCAGAGCCTTACAAAACGCCCTCCACACCTCTGACGTGACCTGGGGACCACGGTCGGAGACTATGTCGGAAGGGATGCCGTGAATCCTGAAAACCTGAGAGACCAGAAGATCTGCAGTCTTAATGGCTGTGGGTAATTTGGGCAGGGAAAGGAAATGGGCAGATTTGGAGAACCGGTCGACAATGGTTAATATGGCAGTGTTGCCCTGGGAAGGAGGGAGGCCTGTGACAAAATCCACTGCAATGTGGGACCAGGGTCTCCTGGGAATGGGAAGCGGCCGCAGGGATCCGGAGCTGGGTTGATTGGATGTTTTGTTGCGGGCACAGACGGAGCAGGCCAGGGTGAACTCACGGGTGTCTGCCTCCATGGTGGGCCACCAGAACCGTTGCCGGAGGACCTCTAAGGTGCGGGCAGATCCGGGATGACAGGCGAACTTAGAGGTATGCCCCCACAGGAGGACCTGCGGGCGGACGGCTTCTGGGACAAACAGGCGGTTTGGAGGACCGCCTTCAGGGTCAGGTTGCTGTTCTAGGGCCCGGAGTACTTGGGCCTCAACCTCCCAAGTGAGGGAGGCGACAATGCGAGTCTGGGGCAAGATGGGTTCCGGGTCTGGCAGGGCGTTCTCTCCGGAGAACTGACGGGACAGGGCATCAGGCTTGGTGTTCCTGGACCCGGGGCGATAAGTGATGGAGAAGTTGAAGCGGCTGAAGAAGAGGGACCAGCGGGCCTGGCGGGAATTCATCCTCCTGGCCGACCTGATGTATTCCAGGTTCTTGTGGTCTGTCCACACGATGAAAGGCTGCAGGGCACCCTCCAACAGATGCCGCCATTCCTCCAGAGCGAGCTTGACGGCCAACAGCTCGCGATCTCCGACGTCATAGTTCCTCTCTGCGGGGGTAAGACGCCGTGAGAAGAAGGCACAGGGGTGTAGTTTTTGGTCTGTAGCAGCCCGCTGGGACAGGACTGCCCCTACCCCGGTGTCCGAGGCATCCACCTCCAGGATGAACTGTCTCTCGGGATCTGGCTGGATCAGGATAGGCGCCGAAACAAAGCGTTGCTTCAGCTCAGAGAAGGCTTTGTCTGCTTCAGGGGTCCAACCAAAGATCTTGGTGGTGGAAGTGAGGGTGGTCAGGGGGGCTGCCACAGGGCTGTAATTTCGGATGAAACGGCGGTAGAAGTTTGCAAAACCAAGGAAGTGCTGAAGCTGTCTCCGGTCTTCGGGACGGGGCCACTCAGTCACTGCCTCCACCTTTAATGGGTCCATCTTGACCTCCCCGGAGGAGATGATGAATCCCAGGAAAGCCACAGTGGATGCGTGGAACTCACATTTCTCTGCCTTGACGAAGAGGCGGTTCTGGAGGAGACGTTCGAGGACCTGGCGGACATGGCAGACGTGTTCTTCAAGGTTTCGGGAGTATATTAAGATGTCATCCAGGTAGACGAAGACGAACCGATTGAGCATGTCCCTCAAGACGTCGTTGATGAGGTTCTGGAAAACTGCGGGGGCGTTAGTGAGGCCGAAGGGCATGACCAGGTATTCAAAGTGTCCCAGGGGAGTATTGAAGGCGGTCTTCCACTCGTCGCCCTCCCGGATTCGGATGAGGTGGTAGGCATTTCTAAGATCCAGTTTGGTGAAGACAGAGGCTCCATGCAGCGGGGTGAAGGCAGAATTGATTAGGGGAAGGGGGTAAGTATTTTTAACAGTAATGTCATTGAGGCCCCTTGAAGTCTATGCAGGGACGGAGGGATTTGTCCTTCTTGGAGACAAAAAAGAATCCAGCGCCGACAGGGGATGAAGAGGGGCGGATGATGCCAGCCGCCAGAGAATCGCGGATGTAGGACTCCATGGTGGCCTGTTCAGGTCTAGACAGGTTGTACAGTCTGCAGCGGGGTAGTGTAGCTCCGGGAAGTAAGTCTATAGCACAGTCGTAGGGTCTGTGTGGGGGCAGAGACAGGGCTTGATCCTTGCTAAAAACCATGGCCAGATCGTGGTACACAGAAGGTACAAGGTCCAGGTTGAGGGGTTCGGAAGGTAGGGCCCGGGTGCTGGCTCGAGTTTCAGGAGTCAGGGCAGACGTCAGGCAACGTTGGTAGCACTCCCGGCTCCAGGAACGGATCTCCCCCTGCTGCCAGTCAATGTGGGGATTATGGACCTGGAGCCAAGGGAACCCAAGAACCAAGGGTGGACTAGACTGGTCGATGAGGTGGAAGGAAATTGTCTCATGGTGGTTGCCCCCCACCACCAGGGAGACCGGAACAGTCTTATGGTGGACTTGGGCCAGGTGGAGTCCGTTCAGAGCATGAGCCTCCAGGGGCGCGTCAAGAGTTTCTGTGGGAATGCCGAGCTGGGACGCCAGGCGAGAGTCCAGGAAATTCTCTTCAGCCCCAGAATCCACCAGGGCTAGAAGAGGGATAGGCTGACACTGCCAACACAGGGTTATGGCCACTTGGAGACGTTGTGGGGGCGAAGTAGTAGTACGGCTCACCAGCAGATCCCCCGTCACTGGCGAGCCGGACCTTTTGGCGGACGGGCGGGGCAGAAGGCAATGTAGTGACCCGGACGCCCACAATACAGGCACAGGTTTGCTGACCGACGTTGTAACTTCTCAGACTCAGTGAGGTGGGCACGGCCGATCTGCATTGGCTCTGGGAGAGACTCCGGCGGGGGGTCCGGCTGAGTTCTGGGGCCTGGGGCACTTGGGGTTCTGGTGGGTCCTAGTACAGAGCGGGCGCTGCGTTCTCGCCTCCTTTCCCGGAGCCGGTTGTCAATCTTAATCGCTAATGCGATGAGGTGGTCTAGGTCTGGAGAGTCGTCACGAGTTGCCAGCTCGTCCTTTAGGGCCTCACCTAGCCCTTTGTAAAAGGCTCCCTGGAGCGCGCCGTCGTTCCAGGAGCTCTCTGCAGCCAGCGTCCGGAACTCCACCGCAAACTCTGCGACACTCCTTGTCCCTTGGGAGATGGCCATGAGGCGGTGGCTGGCGTTGTTTCCGCTTACTGGGTGGTCAAAGACCTTCCTCATCTCTGCCACGAACGCCGCGTAGGACTCACAGGCACTGTCCTGGTGCCCCCAAACAGCCGTGCCCCACTCTCTCGCCTGTCCTGAAATTAACCCGATGGTGTAGGCTATTTTTGAACGATCGGAGGCATAGGAGAGAGGCTGCATCTCAAAAACTAGTGAAACCTGAGTTAAAAAGGCCTGGCAGGATCCTAACTCCCCCCGGTAACATTCAGGTACAGGCACTACAGGTTCACGAAAGGGAGGTGGAACACTAACGCTAGCCAAGACAGGATTAGCGGCTAACGCTGAGCCTGGGGGAGCAGTCTTAGCAATTTGACCAGCCAACCCTCTTAACTGGGTGGTTAGTTCAGAGATCTGATTAAGCATAACATGATTGCTACTGACCAGGGAACGCAACAATTCATCATGTTGAGCTAACACGCATTCCTGATTAGCAATAGCTTGTTGAAACGTGGTAGCGGGGGGAGACTGCCTCCGCGCCAGTCTCTTTGTCTGCTGAGCTCATCTTGGCTGGACCGTACTGTCACGGTTCAGGCACCGAGGCTCAAATGCGGACAAAGAGACTCAAGTCAGAGCAGTTCAATTAAACAGATATTTATTTGGTCCCAAAATGCAAACAGAAATAGGAAAACGGAACTAAGGTGGGCAGTAACAATTAACAAAAAGCGCTGTCTGAAAAACGCGAGACAGGATCAGTAATAATTAACAAAAAGCGCTGTCTGTAAAAACGCGAGACTGGAACAGTAATAATTAACAAAAAGCGCTGTCTGCAAAATGCGAGACTGGAACAGTAATAATTAACAAAAAGCGCTGTCTGCAAAAACGCGAGACAGGGTCAGAACAATTAACAAAAAACGCTGTCTGCAAAACGCGAGACAGGGTCAGAACAATTAACAAAAAAGCGCTGTCTGCAAAACGCGAGACAGGGTCGGGTACTACCAGAGCTAGCGAGAGAGCGAGTGAGCAGGCAGTCCGTGATTTCCGACTGGAGGGGGGAGAGGCAGGTGGTGATGGCGTGAGGCGGCGTCCTGGACGGAGCTGGGATGAAGAGCAGGAGAGCTGGGTACGCAGGCGGGAAGAGCAGGCGGAGTGGGCAAGGGATCTTCAGGTTACGGTCCAGCGTCGGGTTGTGGGAAGCGTCCGGTTTTTATGGCAGCGGGTGAATGAATGAGAGCGCTCCTCTCCCCGCCACACGGATCGATCCGCTGATTAGAAAGTGGCTGCACCTGTCCGCCCTGAAGCTGCATCACACCAACACCTGCTTAGAGAGAGGGAGAGGAGGAGAAGAGGGAGGGGGGAGAAGAGAAAAGAGGGAGAAGAGAAAAGAGAGGCTGCCCCTATCTGGCCCTAGAAGTAGAGGGCGTGACACCTATGCTTGAGCAGCGATGCTGTGCATCGGCCCAAGTATCAAAAGGCAAGTCAATATACACACTGCGCAGCCCCATCCTATCTACAGAATATTGTCAAGTACAAGAAGTCATCTTTTTTTCTTTTTTCCTTTCTCACAGTTTTCATATGAGGTCTGAGACACCATGTAGATAGCTCACCCATTTCTCCCATCTCCTTTCTCCTAATTCCTTCTGAAGTCTAAGGGAGAAGGTCATCTGTTCCAGGAGATGTAAATGATTCACAATACTAACCAATAGATCCATAGTAGGAGACTTTTCCTGAAGCCAGTTCCTGGTAATAGCTTTTTTAATTGCCACAAGTAAGACTTGAATAGATAATAATCATCCTGAGAGAGTCCGTCCGGGAGTTGACCAAGATATAAGGATTCAAATGTACCACTGACAGTAAAACCCATCACCTTCGAAATCAGTTCTGTTGCTTCCTTCCAGAAGGGTTGCACTACAGGGCAAGACCAAAACACATGTGCATGGTCCACAGTTGTATTTCCACATTTTCTCCAACAATCTAGTTGGCTGCCTGTTTGCTTACCCTTCTGTTTAGGTGTTATGAAGAAGCGGATCTGGTTTTTCCAACAAAAGTCTCTCCATGATAATGAGTTAGTTGTTGTTGACTGTGTCTTCCAAGTGTCCAACCATAACTCATCACTTATCTCGATGTCCAATTCTTTTTCCCAACGTTGTTTTATATACATTGTAGAGTCCTTTTTCAGTGACATAATACCATTATAGAGTTTGCTTACAAGACCTCTCATGCTTCTTGAGTTATAAGCCTCAGTGAAAACAGTAATTATAGATGGTGTTAATCCCGGGTTAGACCCTTTTATTTTTTTGTCAAAGAAATTCCTTAGTTGAAGATACCTATAAAAGTCTTGTTTTGTTAGACCATATGTCCTACTTAAGATTTCAAAACTATCGATGTCTCCATTTTTTATCAACCTACACATGGAAGTTATACCCAGATGGACCCATTGTCTGTACCTACTATCTAGCAATGCTGGTTTATATTCAGAATCAAACGCTGGCCAGCTTAAAAGCTTGGCCTCTTTCTGGAGTTGAAATTGTTTGACCACTTCTAACCAAATTTTAAGTGACAGGTTCACCCACTGGCTTGCTGTTGAAACATCTCCTTGTTTCCATCTATAGAACCTAACAATGACTGTATTGGTTTATCCATTAAAGAACGTTCTATATCTTTCCATTTAGCAGTATAAGACGGGTTACACCAATACACAAGAGGTCTCAACTGTGCTGATAGGTAATAGACCCTTAATGATGGGAGAGACATGCCTCCCCTCTCTCGAGGCAGTTGTAGGGTAGAGAATCTCACCCTTGGTCTTTTCTTGTCCCAAATAAAACGTGAGATGTGTTTATTCCACTCTCTGAATTGTTTCAAGGGTATTTCCACTGGTAATGACAAGAATAAATATAATAATCTTGGTAAGATCACCATTTTGACTGATCTTATTCTGCCACCGAGGTCAAGGGGAAGCACGCTCCATCTGTCGAGATCATCATACATTTTCCTAGTAGCACTCTTATAGTTGACATCGTATAATTATGTTAGGTCTTTAGGCAAGTTAACACCTAAATATTTGATATGGGTTGAGTGCCAGTTGAATTTATATTTTGTCATGAATTCCCGTGTAGGGTTGTAGTTAAACGTTAAGACTTGGGTTTTGCGTATATTTAGAACATATCCAGAATAGGACCCATATGTTTCCAACAATTCCATCAATATAGGAAGTCCCGATCCCGGGTCTTCGATTGTGACAATTACATCATCTGCGAACATACCGACCTTATATTCTTTTCCTCTTATATGTATTCCCTTCAACCTAGTCTCCTCTCTAATTGCTTGGGCTAGAAGTTCGATGAATAAATTAAAGAGATAAGGAGAGGCCGGGCATCCCTGTCTAGAACCTCGTTCTAGTGCTATGGGGTCTGAGAGACTACCATTTATCTTAATTCTTGCAGTGGGAGCAGAGTAGATTGCCTGGATGCAGCGTGTAAAATCCTCACAAAAACCAAATCTATTCATTGTTAAGTACAGGAATTCCCAGGATAGGCTATCGAACGCACAGCGAGCATCCAGGCTGATAACCATGGCACCCATGTTTTCCTTATTGATTTGTTCAATAACATGCAAAGCCCTCCTAATATTATCCTGAGTCATTCTTTGTTTCAAGAATCCACTCTGGTCCTCATCGATGAGGAAGTCCATTGTCTCCCCAAGCCTTTTTGTTAAGATGGCAGCATATAATTTATAGTCAGTGTTCAAAACACTTATGGGTCTATAGCTCCCACATTCCTTTTTATCTCTTCCCTCTTTATGTATGACAGATATGTAGGCTTCATTCCATGAGGGGGGAATGGAATTTTATTTCAATACATAATTGAAGCATTTCTCCAGTAGGGGAAGTAGTTGTTCCTTCATACATTTATAGAATTCGTTTCCGAACCCGTCCGTACCAGGGCTCTTATTAATGCTCGAACTAGAGATGGCTTCATCTATTTCTACCTGTGTTATTGGGGCGATTAGTTTTTCATTCATTATTGTGCCAATTGAGGGAAGATCCAACGATTCAAGGAAATCTACAATTGTTTGTTTGTCTGCCAAATCAGGCTGGGAGTACAATGATTTAAAATGTTTTTCAAATGCTTTCTGTATGCCATCCATATTACTAACTATTTTATTTGTGGTTGGGTCCCTGATTTTATGTATAGTGTTTTCAGCCTGTTGTTTCCTAAGCTTCCAGGCCAGCAATCTTGCCGCTTTTGGGCCGGCCTCATAGTACCTTTGCTTCAGGAACCTTAAATTTTTCTCCACTTCTTCACTCATTATTTTGTCAATTTCTTGTTTGACATGTTTAATTTGCTGTGTTATGGCAGGTCCCTTGTTTTGTACTTGTGACTGTTCTAATTCTCGTAGGTTTTCTTGAAGGCTTAACAATTTATGTGCTTTAGCCTTTTTTATCATGGCTGTGCGGGCTATAATCTTCCCTCTAATCACTGCTTTGGCTGCATCCCATAGTATACCTGGATCGACATCTCCAGTATCATTATTTTGTAAATAAGTAGCTAGTTCTGACTCCATTTCTTCTTTGAAGGCATCAGAATTCAGAAGGTTGGTGTTCATTCTCCATAGTGTTTTCCTTTTTCTACTATCCAAATGAAAAGTTAAATAGACCCCTGAGTGGTCAGATATAGCTCTCTGGCCCACTCTACATTCTTTCAGTCTGTGTAGATCTCCCTTATTTGCAAAAATATAATCTAGCCTTGAGTGTACAGAATGCCTTGCACTATAGAGGGTGTAACCTGGGGTCGATCCATGCATAGCACGCCACACATCAATCAGACCCAGGTCCACCAGCATTTTATTTATACGTTTCTCTATAGGAGTTCTCTTTCTTTGTTTGTTGCTGGAATCGTTAGAATGGCGAAGGATGTTTAGATCTCCTGCCATAAGCAATGTACCACGGGTCTCTGAAGCAACCAATTCAAATATCTTTTTGAAAAAGGGCATTTTACTCCCTGGTGGAGCATAAACATTAAACAATGTCACATCTTTTTGATCGATTTTTCCCTTTAAAAGGACATATCTACCCTCATTGTCAATTATTTTGGATATTAGTTAAAATCGAGTTGCATTTGAGATCATAATAGCAACACCTCTCTTTTTACCATTCTTATATGAGGAGGAGACAGTATTTTTAAAACCCATCTTTTTAAGTTTTTCATGTTCCACATCAGATAAATGGGTTTCCTGCCAGAAGGCGATATTAATTTTCTCCTTTTTCATTTTTGCAACCATTTTGCTCCTTTTAATGGGGCTATTCAACCCATTTACATTTAATGAGACTAAATTGTAATGCTGGAAATGCATAATTTGTCTTTTTTTAAGACCTGTTCAACCAATATGCATTATAATTCCCCATACCTTGAGTAAACAGATTAGAGTAGAGATTCGGAACTGTGTCTTCCCAGACCTTGACAACTTTCTCGTACATCAAAGAATAAATACCACATCTGTAATACCCCAGACCTCAAGAAAAAAACAAAAACATGAAAAAACAGTAACAGTATAAAGAAGTTCCCAATGTAAATGAAGGCATCAAGAAAAGGCCTCCTGTAACGAGGGGTGCAGGCCACTAAGTGGGGCCCCTGGCAAGCACAAAGAAACCAGAAAACTGGTGGATGGGACAAACATTACTAAGCACCAGCTTTTATCAACATCTTTAAACTCAATGAAAGGATACTGTCATTGTAGAGTCAGCTATAATATACCTCGAGCTTTATGTGGTCGGGGTTAGGACGCTCACGCTTCTGGTAGGTCTGTATCTTCAGTTTCCATACTGCTGCGTTCGCTCTGCTTCTTCTGCATCTGTTGTTGAAATTTCTCCTTGGCCCCAGGGTGTTGAGGCCCTGTTGTTTCCCATGGAAGAAGCTCAGCCAACCTTTTCTCCGTCATGCCTTTCTTCTTATTATTCTTGGGGGTGAAGTTCTCCACGGTGTATCCCCTGCTTCTGAGGTCCTTCACTGCTTCTGCTGCGCTGTTGTATGTGGTGTAGGTACCCTTCTCGAATTCAACCCGCATTTTGGTCATCGGTGTTTTGAAGGGTATTTTCTTTGCTGAGAGGGCCTTTTTGATGGGTACATATTCTTGTCTCTTTTTTTGCACAGCATCCGTGTAGTCGTGATCAAAATAGACCCGTTTGCCCTGGACACAGGGCTTTTTTGCCCAGGCTGTATGGAGGACTTCTTCTTTCACTGTGAACTGGAGGAACCGTACTATCATGGAGCGCGGTGGAGCACCTTCAGGCGGTTTTGGGCCAACTCTATAAGCTCTTTATATTCCAAGGTTCTGGTTCTGGACCAGATCTGTAAGACCCAGTTCAGTCTTTATCAGGTTTTCCATAAATTTAACTGGAGAGTCCTTTTCTACTCCCTCAGCTAGAGAATAGCAGCGTATATTATTTCTACGTGCCTGTTGTTCAATTGAAGTCCGTTTATCTTCTAAAGCCCGCTGGTCAGAGAGAAGTTGAATGAGAGTGTCTTTGACTCCTATGTCCCGTTTCTCCATAACAACAAAACTTTCCTCAATGTCCTCCATTCGTTTCTCTGCTACATCAACTCGGGCTGTAGAGTCATGCATCTTCTTGTTTATTTCCGCTTTAAACTCCTCCATTTGTTTTTCAAGATCTCCCCGGAGGCAGTCCCTGAATTCAGAGAGCTCTTTTTTCATTTCGGTTTGGATTGTAATTAGCTCCGCTGCCATTGCTTCACTCACCGCATTCTTTAGAGTAGCAGCATCCATTATGTGGGGTTGATTACCAGCAGCGACACCGCCGCCGCCACTACGGTCTCCACTCTGTGTTGAAGTTTTCCCGGCGTCTGTATTGCTGGCGTCGCCACCTCCGCCTCTCCGTGGTGTTGTTTTAGTGACGTTTGCTCCTTTACTAGCACCGGCGCAGCCTAAGCCACCGCGACTCCCGTCTTGTGTTGTTGTATTCCCGGTCGCGCCGCCAGTGCCGCCGTCTCTTCTCAGTGTTGTTGTTTTGGTGGTATTTGTTCCTCCAACGCTGGTGCAGCCGAAGCCACCACGATCTTTGCCTTGTAGGGTCGTGTTCTTGTCGGCGGTCACGCCGCCAGCGCTGCTTCCTCCTCCTCCGCGGTCTCCTTTGTGTGTTGTTTTAGTCCTTGAGCCAAGAACCAAAATTTCACATATCGGTACCACCTGGGTGGGCAAATTCTAGTTGTGTTTTTTTTTGTTGCTATACATCCCTACAATAAGTTTTTATATGATAGACCTTGGTAACTGGTAGCTTTATTGTAGTTATCACTCATTAAAGTAATACAGTGCAGCTGTTCAAAAACAAAAAATCGCCTTCCTTCAAAATTAGCTTTCTTTCATTTTAACCTCTCATTTAGGTGTGTTTGAACTATTGGCTAGCCAAGGAGACTTGTAATAACCCCCTAAGTAGTATTTCAAGTAATTTATCTAATACAAGTGTGTATATATAAGCTTCAATTAGCCAACTGTCAGGTCTAAATCAAGGTCTAAATTAAGGATATTTTTTTACTTAGAAGTAGAAGTAAAGTAAATGCAGACTAATAGCATTATAATAACACAACTTTAATATGACACTGACATATTTTAAATGCAGGCACTCAATATACAATCATCCTGGCTGGTGCAGGGCAAAAAGACATTAGCAACAAAATAAGATCTACTGATGTATACACTCTATACAATCATCTGAGAAAAACTCCTATTCAAAGTCCTATTCTTTCCATAAGGAACAGTGACAGCAAATATGTGTCAAGTTTTGGCTTAGTACATAATACTGTCACTGAGTCACAGTGGGTCTGTAAACATAGCTCCTTTTGGTCATCATTTATCAATCAACATCAGTAATCGACATCAGTATCTGTATCTTCTTCTACATCTGAGTCTGCCGGGTGTGCAAGGGGCTCTTCCTCACTGTATTGGTTGGAACAAGTTTGTAATTTGCACAGGTTTGTGCACTTCAGCCCATTGCTGAGACACGTGCAGTCTGGTGGTTTGCATGTCCTCACACTCTTGCAGGATAGCAACTGCAAGACCGCATCTGGTGCTGGGGAACCACGCATCCACTGTATTTCCAGCTGCCCTTCATCATTTATGGTCCACCCATGGTCCTTGGGGCTTGGTACAGATGGCTTGGTATGAAGAGACCATCTCCAGATAGCAGCCTGGTAGTTGGCATGAATCGAATGCATTAATAGGCAATCCTGACATGGTGTAAGCTGGGTGGACTCAATTTTAGCCAAGGTCCTGCATGAAGGTGGTGATAGTGAAAGGATTGATGTTGTCTTTGATGTTTACAAGGACATGTCAATCAAAAATTCAGAAAGACTAAACAGAGGTGCAGACATGGGGATCCAGTTCAGAAACATTGTTTCTGGCCACAATATTCAGCAGTGGAGGAAACTTCTCTGCAGCCCTGCCAACAAAGCCAGTCTCATCAAGTTCTTGGTGGAGGAATGGAGTTTTTCTCAGATGATTGTATAGAGTGTATACATCAGTAGATCTTATTTTGTTGCTAATGTCTTCTTGCCCTGCACCAGCCAGGATGATTGTATAATGAGTGCCTGCATTTAAAATATGTCAGTGTCATATTAAGGTTGTGTTATTATAATGCTATTAGTCTGCATTTACTTTACTTCTACTTCTAAGTAAAAAAATATCCTTAATTTAGACCTTGATTTAGACCTGACAGTTGGCTAATTGAAGCTTATATATACACACCTTTATTAGATAAATTACTTGAAATACTACTTAGGGGGTTATTACAAGTCTCTATGGCTAGCCAATAGTTCAAACACACCTAAATGAGAGGTTAAAATGAAAGAAAGCTAATTTTGAAGTGCAGTGCAGTGCAGGTGGCCCCCACTGAGGAAACACTGGAGAAAGGCAATAAAAACATTAACTAAATCAGCTAAAAACATCAAACTAGATAAAATTATAAAATACTGTTAAAAAACTAAAATACCATTTAAAAATAAGTGAACACATAGAATAAACATATGTAAAATGAGGACTAAAATATACAAATGAAATAAAATAAGATAGAAATAGGATAAAAATATAGATTAAAAAATAAGACATTAGTTAAAAGCCAAATTAAATAGGTGGGTCTTGAGCCTGCTTTTAAACTATGATACCTGAAAGAACTGCTCCACCATCAAATTGGGCCACACCCACTTCATCAACTCATTTAATTAGACACATGTTTGATTCATTTATAGAAAAGAGCAGTGTGACCCAAAAAGAGTATGACTTTTGATGTGCTTTTGACTTTCTGTGTTGCTTTTGGAGTTAACAAAAATTCGCCTATTGAGGAAAATAACAAAATGAGAAAAAATATAAAAAGCTACCCCTATGAAAAGTCTATCATATTTTAATTTACTTATATTGACCCTAAAAACAATTTAGTATATGTAAGGTTTTGCCCACCCAAGTGGTACCGACATCTGGTCCGGCTCAAGGACTATTTTCTCTGCGTTCACGCCGTCCCCGACTGCCAGCTCCGCGGTGTTTTTTGGTAGCATGTATCCTTTTATTTGCATCTGTGTCTTTTCCCCACTCTTTATCCTTTCCATTGAATCACTCTGAATGTTTTAAAGTATTGAATCAAGGGGAATTATTTAAGCTGGTGCAAGAGCTCTGTAGCTACGCAGCCATCTTGTCGCACGTCCTCCCGGAACTCCACCCCCACACACTGGTTTTGTGGTTTTATCTGCGCACAAGTAGAGCAGTGTTTGCAAGATCAACTTTTAAAGACATCACTGTATGCAACTATGCACATATTGATTGCACCATTGATTTCTGGATACATTTGCTGTAGACACCAGTTTGATCCTTGCTGCACAGTCAGTGTAACTCAGAGTACGGCTACACATTCTTCCAGTGTTCATGTCATAATGTCTCAGTAATATGTAAAGTTAGATAGCCTAAGTACATAACAGTATTATTATGGTGTACATTATCTCTGGGCAACACTACTTGTCAAATCTTAATCATCAAGCCAAAGAAAGCCAGTGGAACAATTTTAAAAGAATCAAAAACAATCCTTCTGTCAATCAGTAATCAAAAATAACAGATTTTTCATGATTAAAAAACAACCTGAAGGCTTAGTAAGATTCACTGTAGATCTAGCAAGCATGCTAACATGATCATTAGCCCTAACAAACTAGCAAGCTAACAAAAATGTTTTTAGAATAGTTTGATATCCTGTGAAATATATTACATTTTACAATCCTGAAATGGTCTGCTAAAAAGAGTTGATTGTGTTTTCTACTTCTGTCTTTTTACTGATTTGTTGCCCTTTTGTTTGTCACAGGGATTACTTGTCTGTCGTGTTTTCTGATGTGTTGCATTTTGTAATCTTGGTCGTCCTGTGTGATTTACAGTTATGTGTCTTGTTTCTGGTGTGACTTGCTATTGTTGTGTCTCTTACGTCACGTTTTGTGATCATGTGTTTTCTTAGTTTCATTTGTCATGTTGTTTTCTCCTCTTTTACCATTTTTATGTGTTTTCTTCTTTGTTGTAGAGTTTCAATATTTTTTATAATGTTTTCCTAATTGTCAATAATTTTAATCTTTTACAATTTCTTCATATAGGCTCATTTTTGTTAAGCGCTTTAAATCAGATCTTATCTTTTACACATGCTTAAAAAACGGCGTGTTACCATTAAGTTCCAGCAGAGGTCGACGCAGTCTCCGTTTGATTTCTGCAGCTGGGTCCTGCGTGTAATATACGACCCCAAGAACATTATGACACGTTTGGATCGGATATGGCAGGGCAAAGCACTCTTTTTTTACTTCTTTACTTCTTTTGTTTTCACCTCAAATCAATTTATTGTCACCGTGTAACGCAGTCTGACTCGGCCCTGTGGCGGTCACATACTGGAAACCACGTGACTGCTGCTGTTATGTTCCTTCTTCCGGGATCAAAACACAGCTGCGACACCCCTTCAATAAGTATTTAGCTGTCGTCGTGTTTGTCCCAGTATCCACTGAAGTTTCTGCAACGGAAGTCTTCGTCTTCCCCAGTGCCAGGACCTATCTGAGCTGCCTGCCCCTAGCACCTTGCTGCTTAAGTCCCCGGGACGAGGTAAGAACTCTGAGCGCTCCACTTGTCCGCTCTTAGCATAGCCTCCTTGAGAAATGCTCAACTTAAAAACTTTGTTACATAAGAGCAGAGGTTTATACACATTGGAAGCGACTTGAGATGTTAAGTAAATGAATGTGAGCCAAACTTAAACTCGGCATACTTGTAATGCACAGAAAGAGACATTACTGAACAAAATCACAACCTGTAACGACGATTTGTCCTCTCACTGACAGCGCATGTCTGTCGGTTTTCTAAGCGTCGCATCCGTGCAGACGGGCGGTGTCATGATTTAGAATAAAGCCATATCGAAATCATGGGTGTCTTGGTGTTTATTAATATAGGCCGAACTTGACCCAGCCTTTTGTTGTTGACTTGCATGTTGAAACTGATGTTCGCAAAAGGTGAGCCCTGTATGACAAGAAAGATAACATAAAAGGGGATTATTTGTGATCGGATTTTGTTGTCAGCCTCTGTTCATAATTATTTGCCTGGGCAAACCGGAAATTTTGCAGTGATTAGTTTTACTACATGAGCAGCTGTCAGGGCTGTTTTGCTGTAAGAGTGTTTACATGGTAACTAAGATTATAAGGAGGAACAGATTTGTATTACAGACCTGCAGTCCAGATGCTGCTGATTGACTTTGCATAGAACCAAAACACTTAATATTACTGAGAAAAAAGCAGGAAGAGGAGCCTCCCACCTTTATACCATGTGATTGAAATATGACTCAGGATGTCTACTTCATCTGTTAAGTGTAACTCAGTTTACAGTTTTCCAGGGCACATTAGAAAGTTAACAACATGACCCTACTGAGGCAGAGATACCGAGGTTAAGATGGCTCATTGTACTCCATTGAAAAGTATTCCAAATAAAATCTAGATATTTGCTGGTTTAGGGTAATAAACTGTAATCATTTACACATCTTATTTGGCATCACTGCTCTCACTTCAATAAATCTCGTTGAACTTGTTCCTCAGCATATCACCAAACAGTTTATAATCAATGTAGGAGTGTCATATCGGAAAAACTTATCTATAATAAACAAACTGAAGTACAAAGCAGAGATGTGATCCAGCGGACCGGCACTGCTGTACTTATATAAAACTGTATCAGCTTAAATATAAGATGGACATTGTATTCGTCAAAAAAGTACAAAAATCTATACTGGAAGAGAAAAGGTTGGACTGATTCCTCCCTTTTCTGCTAAAGAGTGAATGTCAACCCTCTGGAGACACAGTCCATACCTTTTAAATGTTAGGCCCCTCTTTCAAAAAAACTATCTTTGTATTTCAGAATGAATGGTTGCAGACTGTCATCTTATCAGCAGATTTAAGCTTACAGTTACAACATGAGGCAAATAAAACTAAACCAGAAGAACAAACTTGTTTTTGTATGAAGTAGTATTCAGCTGCACCAACAACAAGCTCATTGTACAGAGAAAAATGACTGAAGAAGATAGAGGCTATTCTAGAGAACCTGGATCATCCACTTCATGACACATTGATGGACCAAAAAAAAAAAAAATGGTAGTGGATGGAGAGATTCAGAAAATCTTTTGTACCCAAAGCTATCAGACTGTTTAATTATTCTATAAATGGTAGATGAGATGATATCCCAGATGAATTTCCCTTTGGGATCAATAAAGTTCTTGTATTGTATAGTACAAAATAAGCAATGGCTGCTTTGTTGACCGGGGGCACCATAATTGACATAAACCGAAAGGTAAACAGTGTAGTCAGTCCTCATCATAGAAGATACTTCCCTTTTTCCCCTTTCCTCCCTTATCTCCAACATTATTGTTACACACCAAAAAACACACATACACACTCACCAATATCTGTAATTGTAATCTTTCAAGAAAGCAGGTCAGAGGTATGGGTGATTGGATTTACTTTAAATTCTACCCTCAGCCCAGTAGTATTCAGCTGCACCAACAACAAGCTCATTGTACAGAGAAAAATGACTTACTCAACTTCAACTTTATCTAAAAAGACTAAATGTCAGGGAGTGACACTCAGGTATGCATGGTTACACACCTGCACAGAAATCACACATGACAGAGTGTACATGGTGATGGATGCTACTCTCTGTCTCTGCTCACACAGAGTATTAAGTGTTCCAGCCTGTTAAAGTTGACTTAAGTAAACATTTACATTCAGTTTAGTGGAGCAGAACCATGACTCAAGACTGATTACAAATCAAGGGAGGGAAACACATTTATGCATGAGGTGGACTTTCATCAAATACAAGATCAGTTTTTTATGGCAGCCTTTACTCTCAGTCCTCTGAGTCTCAGAGGGAAGAGTCATCCTCTTTATTGCTGTGTATAAATGAGACAGACAGCTGCTGTTGATTACTTAAATGTCCAAATCTGTTCAAATCAAACTCTACTGATGAAGCGCTTTTCATTCAAAAGGATGTAACACAAAGTGTTTTACAGTCCATTAAAGAAACCTAAAACAATCCTTGAAGGACTCCCCTACACACACACATGCACAATAGCCTCACTCCACTCAACAATACAACCCATGGTTAACAGTTACATACATAGTCTCACCTAAAGCCACACACACACACACACACACACACACACACACACACACACACACACACACACACACACACACACACACACACACACACACACTGAACCCTGGGGTTCAATTTTTGGCTGTTGCTTTTACTCTTTCCATTTGATCACACTTTTTGTTTGTACCTGACTACATTTCAGTAGCCCTCTATGTGCTTTTAAATTTGTTTAAATGTGTTCAATTTAGAATTTCTTTTACACACCAGAGTTAGAGAGCTGACAGTATGACTACTTCTATAAAGCTCCAGTTAGGAATGTTTGGTCAGTGTCAATTTTGGCACCCTCATCTTTCACACAATTAAGTAGCATCATTTGACCAAAATATCTGAGCCTTCTGACTTTTGATGGACAAAAATATCACCCAGAGCAAATCTTGGAAAAAGTAAAAACAGAGCTGTTCCTGTGGCTGCTGGGCTGACACCATAGACTGTATATAAAATGGACAGAGTCTGCCTCCTCGCTGGGTGAAGCCACTCCGAGAACAGCACCCTCTGTTGATGGGCTGCAGTATAGGTCATAAATCCCGCCTCCGCCAGCAAAGCTTATGGGGCTGTGGACAAACTTTAGAAATTTATTCCACAGAACATACATTTTTTCCCCCCTGCTTGCGATGTTGACATGTAGTTACAGTAAGACTGGTTTGTGCTCAAGTCCTCTTTTTTTCTGTACGGCTCCATTTTCAAAAGTTATTAGGGGGTTCATGTTTTCTATGATTGACACCTGATATAGCCTATGGGCATTCAGGGATTGCATAGCTCTCCCGGGGGGATACGCTGTTTGAGCCGAGTGTCATCACAGCAACTCACGGCTACTGCGTGGCCGAATGCGCACATTGCTACTGCGCAGCGCTGGTTTCAGGAAATGATGAAAAATTCCAGGAATACAGAGAGCTTTTTGGTTTCAAATCCATATACAGGCGGAAGGCGGAACCAAGTTGTCCATATGCAGTCTATGGTCTACACACCCCAGTTCAAATGCCAGGTTTTTGTCATGTAAAAAAATAAATCAAGATAAATAATTTCACAACTTCTTCCACCTTTTAATGTGACCTATAACCTGTACAACACAATTGAAAAACAATCAGAAATCTTTCAGGGAGGTGAAGTAAAAGTAAACAACTGAGATCATGTGGTTGCATAAGTGTGCACACCCTTTAATAACTGGGGATGTGGCTGTGTTCAGATTTAACCAATAGCATTCAAACTCAGGTTAAATTAGAGTCAGCAAACACCTGTCACAAATTAAAATGCCTCTGATCAACCCCAAATAAAGTTTAGCTGTTCTAGTAGGCTTTTCCTGACATTTTTGTAACCACATCTTCCAGCACAAGCCATGATCCGCAAAGAGTTTCCAAAGCGTCAAAGGGATCTCATTATTCAAAGATATCAGTCAGGTGAGGGCTACAAAAGAATTTCCAAGGAATTAAATATACCATGGAACACAGTAAAGACCGTCATCATCAAGTGGAGAAAATATGGCACAACAGTGACATTACCAAGAACAAGACGTCCGTCCAAAATTGATGATAAGACAAGAAGAAAACTGGTTAGGGAGGCTACCAAGAGGCCGACAGCAACACTGAAGGAGCTGCAGGAATTTCTGAAGTACTGGCTGTGTAGTACATGTGACAACAATCTCCTGCAACCGCATATCAAAATCTACCCGGATACAGCAATGCTGCTTTTTGATTGGCTGTTCAGTAGATATACTTTCTTTGATTGGCTTGCGCGTGGCACGCAGCTTCTGAACTCTCGGAGAAACTCAGTTGATTTCCCCCTGTTCCATTGTTACAGAGGTGCAACTTGGTGGACATCACCGTGTTCATTTAAATGTGTGAGAAATACAATGTGTGGTTTGTGAGCGTGTGAACAAGTGGGAATGCGTGTGTCATACGCTGAATGCGTGAGACTTGAGAGCCCTGTGCTCACGCATCATCGATGTACTCCCGTGCCATGCAAAACGGGCTTTGCAAATGTTGCACTGAACGCCTTCCTTTTCAGTCTTGGTAAAGTTTTCCCACACCATGGGTTGTGTCCATGTTTTTCTCAGCTGCTGCCTCGGCCATGGCTGTTTCTTTTCTGTGCGTCCTGCTGATGTTTACACGCCGGTGTCCATGGACATATATAAAGACCCGACGAATCGATTACAGAATTAGTTGGCAACGAATTTTTTCGTCACGACGAATCGACTTAATCGATTCGTTGTTGCAGCCTTAATCTGAAATCATATGTGGGAAAATGTGTTATGGTCTGATGAAAGCAAAGTTGAACTTTTTGGGCATCATTGCAAAAGGTGTATTTGGCGCAAAGTCAACACTGCTCATCACCAAAAGAACACCATACCCACAGTGAAGCATGGTCGTGGTGGCATCATGCTTTGGGGCTGTTTTTCTTCAGCTGGAACTGGTGCCTTAGTCAGGGTGGAGGGAATTATGAACAGTTCCAAATACCAGTCAGTGTTGGCACAAAACCTTCGGCCTTCTGCTGATAGACTCCTACCCAAAAAAAACTGAGTGCTGTAATAAAAGCCAAAGGTGCTGCAACAGAGTATTAGTTTAAGGGTGTGTATATTTATGCAACCAGGTTATTTTAATTTTTCTATTTTTTATTTTCCCCTTTGAAGGTTTCAGTTTGTTTTTCAATTGCATTGTACAGGTTTTAGGTCACATTAAAGGTGGAAAAATTTGTGAAAATATTAATCTTGCTGTCATTTTCTTACATCACGAAAACCTGGCAGTTGAACAGGGGTATATAGACTTTTTGTATCCACTGTGTGTGCGTGCGTGCGTCTGACATGCGTGTGTGTGTGTGTTGGCTCAGTCTATACTTCTCAAGTGTTTCAGTTTACACCGTGAAAGTGTTTCAGTCTATAGTATTTAAGTGTTTCAGTCTATACTGTGGAAGTGTTTTAGTCTATACTGTGATAGTGTTTTAGTTGACTAGATCACTGTTATCTTTGTTAAACAGCGTTCACTAATATATGAAAAAAAAGAAAAAGATGGATCTGGATTAAGTGAGAAACTAAACTTGGTTTTATAAAAGGTCAACCTCAGAAGAGTTGGGTATTTACTCTGACATCTTCCTCTTTTTTCTCTCTGGTGTACCTGCAGTGCTGAGTCCTCATCATGTCTAAGAAAGGAGGTAAAAGTGGGGAACTTGAGGGGCCCTTGGATGCCTCAATCATCCGCATCCCACCCCATCACTACATCCATGTGTTGGACCAGAACACCAACATCGCCCGGGTGGAGATCGGACCACTCACCTACATCCGCCAGGACAATGAGAGGTGAGAGAGAGTTTTTAACCAGCCTGCCAATTACATGGTTAGACAAAAGTAGTGGGTAAAAAAGGGTGACCATATTCTGAATCCCCGGAAATCGGGCACATCTGGTCACCTTACCCAAAAGAGGACATGTCTGGGTAAAAGAGGACGTTTGATCACCCTAGAAAAATTATACTCTGACACGGTAAGACAGACTGTAGAGCCAGCAGGCAAATGTGTTCACAGACATCACTGCTGAAAAAAGTTTCAGATAGGCTACAGAGATTTTTCTCTTGTCCCACACATAAAGTTTTTGAATTTCAACTCCAGTCATATGGTTAGCTTCATGTTCCAGATGGAAGCAAAACAGCGATCCTGGCTGTAGCTCAGATTACACTAACAAACAGCTCTTCATGGTTACAAAGCTGTGTGTCGTTGTTTGATAATACACACTTTTTTGGAGAGCAAAGGTGTGAACTGAACTAGCTTGCAAAGCTAATGGCTAGCAGACTTTTTACCTAGCTAGCTAGCAAAAGTGCTGTGTGTCACATTGTCCAAGCTAGCTGGTAAAATGTGACTTTAGGCTCTGTGAGTATACATAAGGTAACTCCAACATGAGTTATTAACCTCAGACTCTTGTCTGTCACATGAAACTGATTGTGTTAGCATTTTTCAGGCAGGAATCTGCTCATGGCAAGGCTAGTCCTCTTCTGGAAAGAATCCTGCTGTCAAAGGAAACAGTTGGGGTCAACTAAAATATCAGGTGAATTTAGATAATCGGTTTCCCTTCCTTGCTTGAGTGACAGGAAGCCAGAAAGAAAACTGTTCAGCTTTGAATCTGTGAGTGAGGAGTGAAGCTACAGGCTTTAGTTTGCAGACTCTTCTGAGCAAATAGAAGACCTTTGACTCAATATTGTCTGATATCTGAGAAATTAATCATTTAGGGAAATCAATGTATGAAAACAAAGATAAATCTTAACACTGGTAACATTTTTATCCTGAGTTTCTTCTGTTGTCTGTCCACAGAAGCATCACAGAGGCCATAATGAACTTGATTTTACCAGTCTGATGAATCTGGGCATGGTTAGCTTTAGCGTCTAACAGTTAATGCTGAAGCCCACTGTCCGCTTTCTGTAGATGTGGATAAATATATTCAAAGAGAGGAAATACTGGTAAAGGTAAAAACAGGTGTAAAAGGTCCATTATTAAAGAGTGTCACCAAAGCCTGAACCATTACTGTAACAATGGGGTCTGTATAAGGTCTGGATTATCACTTATGTCAAATCGTCTTGGTCCCACCCCCCAGAGTCCTATTCTCCCCGGTTCGAATGATCATGGTGCCACCACGTCACTACTGTGTGGTCGCCAACCCTGTCGCCCGTGATGAGGAAAGCCAGGTCCTTTTTGACCAATCAGGTCAGGCCAAGCTCCGCCATGCTGATCTGGAGATCCGTCTGACCCAGGACCCGTTCCCTCTGTACCCAGGAGAGGAGATCCAGCAGGTATTTAAGAGACCCAAGAGTGGGTATCTGAAGAAATGAAGGTCTTAAAAGAAGCCATAAGTACAAACACTTAGTCTGACCCAAAATTGTTGATAAATGAAGCTGGAAACAAACACTCAGAACTTTTCTGTTTATTTCTCTTACACACTGACCATGAACACGAACTGGGAAATTGGACAACAGAATTTAGCATTTTCAGGTCATGTTTAGTGGATGAGTTAACTGTCGTGTTTTCAGTCTTTCATTTTCTGAAGTTTTCAAAAATGTCCCTCACAAATCAGAGTTCAGGAAATGTTTTCTTTTTATTACAAGAGTCAACTTTATTTTCCTCAAACAGATGCAGTTAAAGCATTTAGTCTACACTGTGAAAGTGTTTATAAACACTGAGTGCCTCAGTTAAGGTCAGTTTTATAGAACTGAGACATTTAACATCCTCTCAGCTATTTGTCAGAAGTGAAAACCATTCATAAAACTTCTATAAAAGCAAGTAACCTCACCATTTGTAAAGCATACTCAAGGGAGATGAAATGTCTGCAGTTCATACTGCATAATACCAGCCCATACCAGTACCCCGCCTCCACCTTGTTGGTGTCTGATTCGAAGTGGAGCTCTGTGCCCATTACTGATCCAGCCACGGGCCCATCCATCTGGTCCGTCAAGAGTCACTCTCATCCCATCAGTCCATAAAACCTTTGAAAAATCTCTCTTCAGATATTTCTTGGCCCAGTCTTGACGTTTCAACTTAATAATAATAATGCATCAGATTTCATATAGCGCTTTATCAGAGACCCTCAAAGCGCTTTACATTGGATACATCATTCATTCGCTCACACAGTCACACTTTGGTGGTGGTGGAAACGTGGCTGCCATTCTGCGCCTACGGCCTCTCCGACCACCACCACACAACACTCACAATCATACACCAGTGGAGGACACACACTGGGAGCAAGGTGGGTTAAGTGTCTTGCCCAAGGACACAACGGACAGACTTGGATTAGGGGGAATCGAACCGCCAACCTTCCGGTTATTGGACGACCGCTCTACCTCCTGAGCTACTGCCGCCCAACTTGTGTCTTGTTCAGTGGTGGTCAGGTTTCAGCCTTCCTTACCTTGGCCATGTCTCTGAGCACTGATCATCTTGTACCTCTGGGCACTCCAGGTAGGTTGCAGTTCTGGAATATGACAGCACTGGAGGATATTGGGTTCCTGGTAGCTTTACGTTTGTGTCCTCTCAAATCTTTGGCAGTTAATTTGTGTCTTTTTTTCTTAACACATTTCTTGCGACCCTGTTGACTATTTGCATCAAAATGTTTGCTGGTTCTGTGATCACGCCCAAATATCTAAGCAATTTCAAGAGTGCTGCATCCCTCTGAAAGACTTTTTACATTTTTTGACTTTTCGGAGTCACTTAAATCTCTTTTTTGGCCCATTTTACCTGAGGAAAAGAAGCTGCCTAATAATTATGCACACCTTGATATAGGGTTTTGATCTCCTTAGGCCCCAGCCTCCCTCATTACACTAATACACATTACCTGATATACTTATATCCAATAAGCATTCAAGTTTATACAGCTTGGAGTTGGAAAATATGCATAAAAATGATGATATGATCAAAATACTCACTTGCCTAATAATTGTGCACACAGTGTAGTGACTCATTATAATTATTCGGCCCTCTAGAGTCTGGATCAGACTTTTCTGAGGAAATATGTCACTTTCGTTCTCCTTTTGGCTCTCCCCTCTGAGATTCGCCAAGCACAGACTCTTGACTCTTTCAAGTCTGCTCTGAAGCGACACTTGTTTATCCAGGCTTTTGGTATTTAGTTTTTTTTTTTTTTTTTTTTTTTTTTTTAATGTGTTTTTTTGTAGTGTGTTGTTAAGCGCCTTGGGTATCCTGAAAGGCGCTATATAAATGTAAGATATTATTATTATTATTATTATTGTTCTTAAGCCTCAGCAGAACTCTGCATGACAAATCCTCCCTTCTATAGGCTGTATTGAGACAGAGGACAAAGTGCTTAGAAAGTGAATCTTTCTAAGCCACTTTTCAGAGCTCATTAAAGAATGACCTAAAACTCACAGTTCAACAATAGACAGACACACTTGTGCCCGCCACTCCCCTTGTTTTCTTAATATTTATCCAGACCTCTTTATCACCAGGCATTCAGCCTAAAAAACAGGAAACAAATCAGAACCCGGGCCCGGCTCTCTGCAGACCGGTCTCCACACAACTACTGGCCTATGCTCCTTTGCACCCAGTCTAGCAGTCTCCCCCTAAACTACTGGCCTATGCCACTTCGCACCCAGTCTAACTAGCTCCACACAACTACTGGCCTGTGCCCCTTCGCACCCAGTCTAGCTAGTTTCACACACTACTGGCCTTGTGCTGCTCCGCACCCAGTCTATCCAGTTCCACAAAACTACTGGCCTTGTGCTGCTCTGCACCCAGTCTATCCAGTTCCACAAAACTACTGGCCTTGTGCTGCTCCGCACCCAGTCTAGCTAATTCCACACAACTACTGGCCTGTGCTGCTCCGCACCCAGTCTAGCTAGTTCCACACAACTACTGGCCTTGTGCTCCTCTGCACCCAGTCTAACTAGCTCCACATATAACAGTCTCACACAACCCACTGCAGTTTCCCCTATATTCAGCTGATATATATCCAATTTAAATTGGCTTCCTTTCCCAAATTTAGCACATTTTGATCAGCTGACTGCATGCATGCAGTTTTCTCAGACTGTCTTCATTCCCACTGTCTCCTCTTATTTCTATTCTAGGTTCTTTGAATCGAAGAGGACAGAGAACAGTAGTCTGCACCACCTCACAGGGAAAAGAACACTCAAATAAATTTTAGGAAATCTCCTACCTTTTTCTTTTTGTGTGCACAGAGTGTCCTGATCCCATAAGAAGTCTGCAGAGTCACAGTCACTTGTCCCCCGATACGAATTCTGGCTAAGGCTTGCCATTATGTTGTGGAAAATCCAGCATAAACTTAGTAAAACAATGCACAGGAGACAGGATGAGATCTGAAGAACAGCCTGGGCATCTTATGTTTTGTACAGATGTAGATATCAGTATAGATGACAAACAGAGTCTCGACCAAGACCAAGGGAAGCCTCCTTAGCTTTTTCTTCTACTACCTTTTATGCTGTTAGGTGTGTGTGTGTGTGTGTGTGTGTGTGTGTGTGTGTGTGTGTGTGTGTGTGTGTGTGTGTGTGTGTGTGTGTGTGTGTGTGTGTGTGTATTCTGTGTATTCTGTCATCATGGGTATGTCATACCAATTCTCCAGATGGCTACCCATGATGACATGTCGTACTGTTCTAACCCTTAACACTTTGTCTCTCGCAGAGATTAAATGTTCCAACAGACAGAGAGTTCTGGTCCCTGCAAGACAGCCTTGCTTACAACCTCGGGGTCATGAGGCTGCATGAGCAGGCCAACCTAGATTATTTGTAGCTCCTTATTAAAAGATAATGGCCCTCATTTTTCAAGCTTGTGTACAGCAGAAAACTTGCGCTTGCGTACAAAAATTTTGACGTGAGGATCAGCATCAATCTGCACGTGAGCGTACGCTACGACCAAATCTCACGACAGGTCTGACATTGTGTACGCAAGTATGAGTCAGCGTGGATCTGCACTGCAGCAAATGTCTGTCTCAAAATAATTGCTATACAAACCTCAAACCTGTCATTAAGCACAATCAGCCAGATTTCATTAAAGATTAAGATGTAAATAAAATAAAATAAATTTGTTATGTCCTTGGTGAATAGGTCTGTTTGATAACTCTGCCCAGAAACACTGCCACAGAGCAGGACTCCTATAAGGCAGGTAGCTCTGTCTTGGCCCAGCAGCGGGGACGTTGCTGTACACTCCTGAAAGGGTGTGGGACATCATTTCGGCCAGTACAGTTTAGCACAATGTTGCACTGGCGAATTGAGTGCCATTGGCTGTGCTGGTGCAACGTGAGGACCCGATGCCTGGAGAACAATAACGAGGAGAGACTCCACAAAGGTGCTGCACAGAGGAGACAGGACCTTATTGATGGATTCTGACATGTGAAGTATAAGTTTAGAAAGTGCTCTTGCTATTTATTAAGTGATAAAAATCTAATAGAAATCCATGAAAATGTGCCTCGGGGGCAGCAACACACCATTTGTGACGTTAATAATTATTTTTGTTCAGCCTCTGTCAGACTCTTCAGTCTGCTCTACATTGCAAAGACGCAACAAATTAAAACTAAATACTTTCAATAATAGGAGCAATGTACCCTATGTCATGGCAATAAACAAATATGTGGCATGTATGAGATAATAATTTATCATCATGAGCAACTTATTGACTAATGATTGATTCAAACTTCAACCACTGTCCGCTATTCCGTGGCAGCGCTGTTCACTGCCACCATAATCGTGCTCCAGACAGGAGTTTTCTGGACTGCTTTTATACCAGTTTTGATGCTTCCAAAGAGCAAATCCTTGTTAGTTTCCACCACAGATGTGAGGATATCCACTTTCAGCTCAGAAAAGTTTCGCATCTTTGAAATATTTCTTCTCTTTCATGTTTGACCTCAGTGGGCAAGGCTTCTTGAACCACGAATATTTAAGGGCGTAAACATGTTAATGACGATCGATTTCAGCCGCTGCATTTATCAAGACATACATACGCTGGGATTGGTCAGATATGAACCCTTTCATAAATCTCACGTGTGTCCTATCATACGATGAATCCTGCAGTCAGATCTACGCTCAAATCTGCGCAAGCTTGATAAATGAGGGCCAATGACTCTATATTTCTTAACCTAAATGTATGAAGAGATTCTACTACAATACCTTTATATTTCAGGGTGTAATGTTCTTTTTTCGTGCATCAGGATGTGACTCCACTGCAGATCGTGTACCCAGACACGGCGCTGCGTCTGCAGGCTATGCTGGACTTTGAGGAGGGTGGAGGAAAGAAGAGAGTGGCTGGAGATGAGTGGCTGTTTGAGGGACCGGGTATGTTTCACTGATGGCTGAATTCTACTTGTTTTTATTAGTCAAATCTGTGCTGAGATACTTACTTAAGAAGTCGGTCAAATATTCTGTTTAGTGCTGGTTTTACAGACTGTTCAGCTCTTAACTCATGAAATATTTTGAGTTTACTTGGCCCATGAAAAAACAGCTGCTCAGACTTACACTCAGACATAATCTGGTTTCTTACAGATTTCACTCAGCCAAGTCTAAAGTAGCTCAAAGTCAGGAATGGGTTTGTTTTACATCACAACCTTTAAGATTTTATTTACAGCTTTAGTATCACATGTCTTTGAAACAGTGATTTTCAACCTGTGTGCCGCGGCACACTGGTGTGCCGTGAGAGATCGTCAGGTGTGCCGTGGGAAATTATCTAATTTGCAAATAATATGCCATTGTCGAGTATCTATGCGGTAATAACGTGAGCGTCGGAGCAGTACTCTTCTCTGTCACTGGGTAGCAGCAGACAGCTAATTGCCTTTAAAAAAAACTGAAAACAAAAAAGGGCTGGGAGCTGTTGAGGAAGAGCTTCTTGTGTCTTTATTCCATTCCTGCCATGATATCAGCTTTGTGTTTATCTAAACGTCCAGGTCTCACACTGAGCGAGTATAAATAAATTTGGAAATTATATTACTAACTTTATTCTAGGGATGCACCGAAAATTCGGCCACCGAAAATGGCCAAAAAGTGCATTTTCGGTTTTCGGCCGAAACACTTTTCTCACTGAAACATCACGGCCGAAACAGATGTTGTGATGACCCAAGCAAAAACCGCGACCAGTGCGTGCTTGTCTGGATCAGAGCCAAAATGTCTGCGGTGTGGACATATATCTATGTATCTGAGAACTAGGAATAGCGATCGGCAGAGATGGGAATTGTGGAGTCACCAAGTCATCTCCATGCCATGTATTTGTTCTGCTCTGTCACTGAACCAGCTGCTTCCAATGAACAACCAGGAAGGTTTGCTCATTAGTGAAGGCACCTGGTTTAGTAACTGAGCAGAACAAATACATGGCATGGAGATGACTTGGTGACTCCACATTTTCCCATCTCTGGCGATTGGCATAGCCTGTAATGCAAAAATTTCAAGAGGGAGTGCATTTGCAAAGAGTTTCTTCACGTCGAGTTTAATTTATCACCTGGGGCCTGTTCTACGAAGCAGGATTACTGCTTAGCGAGGTAACTTCGAGGGTAAGTTCGGGGTTTCCTGTTCTACGACGCGGGTTCACTTCTTAGCGAGGCGAGTCTCCATGGCAACATATGCTGAACGGCTAACCTGCTCCGGGGCAGGTTAAGTTACAGATTGAACTCGATTGATTTTAGTGAGATTAGTACACAGTCATAACCATAAATGCAATGGTACTAATACTTGGCATAATAATTTCTTTCAGTTTTCGGCCTTGGTTTCCTCATTTTCGGTATTTTCATTTCAGTGTATCACTATATTCTATAGTATATACTGTGTTAGGCTATAGAGTGTCATTTTTGGTTGGTGGTGTGCCCCAGGATTTTGTCAATGTAAAAAATGTGCCGTGGCTCAAAAAAGGTTGAAAAACACTGCTTTAAAGGGTTGTATTTCTGACAGAGTGATACATAAATTCCTTTTCTGATTTTTTACTTTATTTTGTTCCCCCAAGATTATTTACCCTTGTGTAAGTCAGTAATGTTGCTGCTGTTTTAGTGTGTGAAATTGCATTTTTGGAGGTTTATCCTTTTAAACAAATAATGAAAGAGCAACACAACCCCAAGAACTTTGTTGGTAGTTCAAGCAGCTTGTAGCACAACCACCTCATCACTGATGCAGGAAACTTGTGGGTTAGACTTTCCTTCCCATAACAACAGTTCTCAAGTTTCCATGTGAACTTTTTCTGCATGTGCATCTCTACAAATTAGACTATCATGAAAGACTCCCTACCAAGTACTGAGAGTAGAAATGAACATACTTTTTAAGGGGTAGACATTTCTGTATTTCAAATCGTTATTTGTTTAATCTTAAAGGATTTTCTTATTATTATGGGCCTCTGGGTTTCAAATGTTCTCATGCTATGAGCAAAAATCATGAAAATTTAAACAGAAAAAGGCTTTAAATATTTCACCTTATGTGTAATAAATACAGAAAATATGAACGCTTTTTTTGATAAGGTGACCAGACGTCCCAGATTTCCAGGGACAGTCCCCGAATTGGATGACCTGTCCCCGGCAAAAGCTGTCTCCGAAAATGTCCCCAGTTTAAGCGTTTCATGAATGAGAACAAAAATGTTGTGTGTAGGATAGAACAATAGTTATTGCAGTAGCCAAATGGGTAGGAAGCACAAGTAAGCAGTCATGAACAACAGTTTTTACAGGGGTTATTACAAGGGGCATGCGCTGCTACTAAATAGTACCAAGATGTTGTCTGTGATCACACAGCCCACATTACAGAAATCTGGTCACCTTATTCTTTGAGGAATAAAATATGAACTTTTTCACAATATTGTAAATAGTTGAGATTACAGCTGTGAAGTATGCCTACAGAATCCCTGATTAATAATTCTGTAACATGATGTGTTTCTCCTTCAGGGACATACATTCCCAGGAAGGAGGTGGCTGTGCTGGAGACCATCAAGGCCACAGTGATCCGAGAGAACCAGGCCATCAGACTGAGAGCTAGGAAGGAGGGAGTGGACAGAGGAGGAGTTCGCAGGGTCACAGGTAACACACACATACTCACATACACACTCACATAAATCCTTCTTACTTTGTCTCTGTCTAACTGGTGATGCACTCTTATGAACTTTTGATTGATTTGTAAATTTGCCAATTCAAAGTAGGCTGCATCTTTTTCTCCTTTTAAACATTATTTTTCCTGTATACATGAAATAAAAACAATTTAAAGGTTTTAAGATGGAAAGAAACTAAATACTGATGAGAGTTTAAGAGAAAACTTCCAAATATGCTGCTGTCAAAGATAAGTGTCTTGTCTTGACTGATAGATGTTTGAAAATATCTGAAAGCATTAAGTCAGTGTACATACGTGATCCCAGTGACTTTACATCTAGACTTATATCCAGTCAGCTTTAGCATGAAGCGTGTGTTTGGTTTCAGGCGAGGAGTGGCTGGTCAGTAAAGTGGGAGCTTACCTACCAGGTGCTCATGAGGAAGTCATCGACATAGTGAATGCTTTTATCCTAACTGATAAGGTAAGTTCTTGCTTCTCTCTTCTTGAACTACAGCTGGATGCTTTGGTGTCTCTTATTGGTTCCCCAAAAAAGTGAAATGATTCAGGAGTCTGGACAAGCTCTTGCGCTTTTTTCCTGGAAAATAGGAAATCTGTTGCAGGAAATGAGAGTTTGGGGGAACTACACATTTTCTTTTCTGCCCTGATATCAGGTATTTATTTTAAAAACCAAGGCGTGCTTTTCCAGTTGTCTTTGTTGGTGGTACTTTCAGAAAGCACTCCATGTTCGTGCCCTGCGTCCCTTCAAAGATGCTGGTGGACGAGACCGCCGCACAGGGGAGGAATGGCTGGTTACCATGGCTGACAGGGAGGCTCACATCCCTTCTGTAGCTGAAGAAGTAGTGGGGGTGGTGGATGTGACCACTCTGAGCAGCAGGCAGTACTGTGTGATCCTGGACCCAGTCGGAGCTGATGGGAAACCTCAGCTGGGACAGAAGAGGGTGGTGAAGGTGAGGAGGTGCAGTTTCTTTGTATTTTTGAGGTTACTGGGTGGTCATCAATAAAAAAATGAAATGCTACTTAAATAATACTAATGTACTACATTCTGTAATATACACTTCAACCTGACCATTCAATCATTTTTACTCCTCTCTCCCTTTCTCTCTCTCTCTTTTTCTCTTATCAGGGGGAGCGTTCATTTTTCCTTCAGCCAGGGGAGAGCCTTGAACAGGGCATCCAGGATGTGTACGTGCTGTCAGAGGAGGAGGGTGTGGTGCTGCGAGCTGTGGAGGCCTTCAACGACACTGAGGGGGTGAGAAGAAAACTCTGAACTTTCATGCTTCTATATGTAGAGAGTCCGTTATTTGCATAGATTGGCTTCCTCTGTAGTTGTCATACTTAACTGTGATTGGTTAGCTTTGTCCAGTCTGGAAAACATGTGATTTTTCATCAGTTTATTATCATGCCCTCAGGTATGACTCACTTCTGTACCATGCTGCACAGAGCTAAACAGTAGGAGACAACCTCACTGTCTAAAACCTACTTTATACTTGTTGACACCCCACATTAGATTAACACAGATATACAGTAGAAGTGTATGTCAGCTGTTCAACACCCCTGGCTCTACAGGATTAGATTTTTTAACTACTGTTTTTCATTCAGTACTAGATCGGACAGTAAATCTTCACCATCAATGTTTCTTAATGCTTCCTATGTGATCGTCATTGTTATTTTGGAGCTGATAATTGAATACCCCACTGTTTTTAAAGCAGCATCTGTAGCATCTTAACCACTTCATCCACTATCTGTAATCTAATCATACTTGCAGTTTGTACTTACTCAGGCTAATACATTCATCTGTCAGCTGTATGAGAACTTTCTGTCCATTAGCTAACTGTTAGCTTACCATTTTAAATGTATGTCTGTTCCTTTGATTTAATAGTTTCAGTTGGAGCTTTGGAAATGGATAAACATTTTAAATATCAGCTCACCATCCTGCATGCTTTTGCACATACTTTTAGTCTACACACTAGGATGTGAGGCTAAGCTTATATACTAAGCTTGGAGGACTGTAGGGAGGAGCTGAATCAACTATGTACTGAACCTTCCAACATATGCTTGTAAAGTTAGTCTTTTGTAGCATTACCTGAAAGGCAGCTTTTCTACTTTAAGCTGAAGGGTAGCTTTTCTACTTTACAAACCTTTGCAGCATGAAATGGAGCGATAAGTCAGAGGTGTGTCTCTGCTATCTCTTGGCTTATGGTCTAAAGGTCTTGACAGCTAAGACCACACCCTGCACTGATGGCTGGTGTGTTTGGGTGTGTTTAGAGGTGTGCTCTGTTGCAGCTATTACAAGAATCTTTGTGCTGAAAGGTGTTAGGTGTGCTGAATTTCCCATAGAAATCAGGTTGTTGTGTTTGTTTTGGCTAGTTAAGGTAAGGCAGACTATCTTACAAAAACACAAGTTCCTTATTTACATCTATGAAGTTTAGATTTAGAAAGTTTTTAAGTGCCCTCGGCTAGCCTTTGGAAAGCCTCCAGAGAGGGTTAGGCTTCAGACAGAGGCTATAATAATAATATTTCAATACTCTAAAGTGAGAACCAGGGGGCCTCTTTGATCTGAAAATCATGTATTAAAGAGGTACCAGAGAGGAAGTTTAGCGGTTAGGTGTCCAGAATTTTCCTCAGAAATGTGGTTGTTTGGGTTTGTTTGTTTCTGAAAAAAAATACATACTACCCCCCACCCCCTTTAAACATGACACAGAGAGCGGTCCCTGATCTGCTCTTAAAAAAGGGTCCTTCTTTTTGTGTGGGGCCATGGTTAAGTTTTAGATACATGGCTGTATTTCTGTTCACACGAGGTCACAGTGTTGCATTTGATGATTATCCGGCCAGAAACCAGGATCTCATTTGTTTGACCTGGAGAGTTTTGAACTGCATTTAACGGTATTTAATGTTTGATGTATAACATGAGTTTACCCCCCACTACACCATCTACCTTTTCCAAGCTTGCTAACCCATTAAAACCCCTACTCTGTTCTCTTTTTCTTCTCTCCCTTTTTCATTGAATTCAAACTCCAACCTGTCCCTGCACTTTTATTCAATTCTTCCATTTCTTGAATTTTCCTTTTCCATTTTTGGGGACTTGTTGTCCTCTCAGTGCTCCTCTCCAATCCCCTCCCCTCCCTGTTCTCCTCCTTTGACTTCCACATCTCCTACTCCACCTCTTTTTCCCTCTTCCTTTCCCCCATCCCTCAAATGCATCGCCACGTTAACCCTTCTCTCCCTCCTTCACCTGTCTCTCCCCGGTTCTTTCTGCCAGCGCACTGAAGAAGAAGAGGAGATGGAAGAGGAGGAGGAGCAGCGGAGGCAGGAGAGGGCAAAGCGTTCAAGGAAGAGCGGTGTCCTCCGTCGCCCAGGAGACCGCTGGATGCTGAGGGGTCCCATCGAGTATGTTCCCCCAGCTGCTGTGGAGGTTGTGCTGAAAAGACAGGCCATCCCGCTAGATGAAAATGAGGGGATCTATGTCCGTGACATCAAAACTGGAAAGGTACGAGTCTAAGGCTTCAGGAACTTTCATCAAAAGAAAACACCACTCTTTATTTATATGGAAGTGAGGTCAATGTCATTAAGATTAAAGCAAAGGTATGAAAGTGGGTCTGTCTGCCTCCAAGGTGCGAGCTGTCATCGGTCACACATACATGCTGACCCATGATGAAGAACTTTGGCATAAGGAGCTTCCTCCGAATGTTGAGGCCCTGCTTGCTTCACCTCTGGACCCATTAGCTGACCGCTCAGACCGCACTAGAACTGGAGAGGCCAAGCGGAGGGACAAGACCCGAGTGGTCTCCTACAGGGTCCCACACAATGCTGCTGTCCAGGTCTACGACTACAGAGAGAAGAGGGCCAGGTGGGACTCAGGCTAAATATGCTGATGGTATGTGAATGTAGAACAAACAGGCTAATGTGGTTTAATGGCTAGAATCTTGTCCTCAGGGTGGTGTTTGGACCAGAGATGGTGATGCTGGGACCTGATGAGCAGTTCACTGTGTTGTCACTGTCTGGAGACAAACCAAAGAGAGCCAACGTCATCAAGGCTATCTGTCTTCTATTGGGGCCGGACTTCTGCACCGACATCATCACCATCGAGACAGCTGACCACGCCCGCCTTCAGCTGCAGCTCTCCTACAACTGGTAACTATGACACACCAAACCCGGAACTCAGTCTGAGTTCTGTTTAGTAGGTGTGAACTCTAGGGACAGTTAAAGCTACTGCGAGTAGTTTTTCACTCTTAACAAAACGGGCTGAAATTAGTCGTGGTGCCTTCTGTGAGCTTAAGAAATGAAATAAGTCATCAGCAACCAGATTGACAAATTCTCAGCTGTAGTTTTTAAAGGCTGTAGTCACTGTGAGGGATTAAGTGTTATGCTGTATGATTTCCAGCTCTCTGGAAAAAAACAAAGATTTGCAGTGAATGATACATTTCAATATTTTAAGAACAATGGATAAGCTCCATTCCTAGACAGCACAACTTACTCATGTATCATTTTGTCCACAAGGGATGTCAAAATCAACCCAGACCGAAAGTTTCTCACAGGAGCTTTAAATGAGGCGTATTTTATTTTTTATGGAGCACCACGGTCCTAGAAAAAAACAGATTCCAGGTCATTTGAACCTTTACTTGGTGGAAATGACATTGAAGAAAACTTCAGAGTTTAGATTACAGGTTAAGCTCTTAAAAACACAGGTCAAGGCTTTTCTCAATTTTTATGGATTTTTTTTGGTTAATCAATTAAACTGCTGAAAACTGTCCATTTAAAAGAGGATCCAGACTCTAAACTAACAGTAAAGGGTCATTCCATGTCAATTCAACCAAGAATCTCCACTCACGTCACAGATTTTGATGAAATTTGGTGGAGTGATTGGCCTTCAGGAGAAACTGTCAGATCACAAATATTTTTGTTCAAAGCCGTCTAATTAGTGAGATGGGGGCTAACGAATTTTTGGCAAATTAGCATGACATGCGTTACAAAAGTGTTCATATCTCTGGAAGTATGGCACCTAGAGTGCTGATTCGGGTGTCATTATAAAGCTCTCTTCAAGTTCTATCTTTTTGTTCATAACATTTTTTCCCAAATTGGACCAGAAAAAAATTATAAAAGACCAAAAACTTAAATTGGAAATAGCAAAAAACGCGCGTCCTTCAATTTTCTTCATATCCACGCTAAAGAAAGACTTTCATGTCCACTAGCATCCCTGCAAGTTTCAGGATGGGCATTCCATATTTTTTTGAGTAATCAGTCAAAATGTGTGGTACGTTAGGTCGAAAATTGCCATATTTGGCACATTACACAGTTCTGACCTCATCTGGAGTCAGCCCCACTTGCCTGCTTGTGTAAAATATTACTTCCTCATAGTGCAAAATGCTTTTTTTGAGTGTTTTCATTTGTATGTTATCCCATATTTATATGAAAAATGGCTAGAATAGCTTATTTTTGCTCAGTTTTCTATCGCATTTCATTTCTATTTGCACCTATATCCAGAATATGAATGATCTTAGCTTCATGGGAGAATCATTTGGGCATACCTGCATGTCCTGGATCCTAGGGTTGACAAATAACTTCTACCTATGCACCCTGAAATTTTGTTGCTGGTTTCCCTGTGAAGTATTCCAGGCTATTTATCCTGAGCCCTTTCAACGTTTCCTTTATACTTCAAAAGTACTTTTAGCATGGTGATCAAGCTTTGTGCAGCTTTTTGATATTGTTAGTTTGTTTCCAAATAGGAAAGAATGTATGAACTACAAAGAGTTTGATAGCGTCAGTGTAAGGAATGATGGTTCCCCAGTCGTCTAGGTCCTCTAGCTTTCAGTACAGACCAGAAAATAAATAATAGTAAGACCAGGAAATAAACGACTGAGCCGGCTGACCAGAAACAGCACTAAAAACTTGAATTTTTCACACGAATGGATGAGATGCTGACCACGAGGTTAAAAACGGGATTCAAACAGTATGTAAACGGGAATAATATTGGTGGATTATTAACCTGTTGGAGCTGGATGAGTGATAATGCTGACTGTTTTGGACACCAGAGTGAAGGTAAGACATTTTTCCCTTTGTTATTTTATGTCAGATCTCCGTTAAACAGTGGAGACTCACTACAAAGACGCCAAAGCAGAGGCGTGAAGAACAAGATGCAGGATGCTTAATGCAGGGTTTAACCGACTAGTAAAATACTAAACGTTTAATAAACGAATAGGCGGTGAAACAATTAAACGACAAGTCGTGCACATCCCTAACTCAAGCTAAGGTAACCTAGAGGAAAGATAAGCACGAGTTTGTTAGAGGGGGAAGAAAAAAATGCTTAACTTACCAGCTATTGAGGAAATAACTGAATTTTCTTCATTTTCCCAGGCATTTTGATATTAAGAGCCCAGCAGAACCTGCTGATGCAGCAGCTCTCTTCTCAGTCCCTGATTTTGTTGGAGATGCTTGTAAAGCCATCGCCTCCCGTGTCAGAGGAGCTGTGGCCTCTGTTCAGTTTGATGATTTCCACAAGGTTAGAGTTTCATCTCGTGTTCTTCAGTAATCCTCATAATGTAACAGGAACAATCAGCAGACGACAACAGTTTTTCAGCATCAGAGCATTTGGCGTTGAGACAAATTAACTGTTTTCAGTCACAAATAATCATGAAAATATCACTTTATCTTCATTCTTGTCATTAGTCTGATATTGTCTTTAATTGCAGAACTCAAACCGGATCATCTGCTCTGCTGTCTTTGGCTTTGATGAAAAGTTGGCAGTTCGTCCCAGCCTTTGTTTCAACCAGAACCGACTGGTGATCAGCAGCGTGGACATCCAGTCTGTGGAACCTGTAGACCAGAGGACAAGAGATGCTTTGCAGAAGAGTGTTCAGTTGGCCATCGAGATCACCACAAACTCCCAGGAGGCTGCTGCAAGGTCAGAACACACACACACACACACACACACACACACACACACACACACACACACACACACACACACACACACACACACACACACACACAAATGCAGATGGTCTGTAAGAGGATGATTTGACATTGAGTGAAAACCTTGGTACTTTATTTTTGAGATCTTTGACAGGTGCAGAGACAGAAACAGCTGAGTCAGCCCGGCACAGAGACGAAGCTAAAAGAGGAAAGGCCAGGTCTCATTTACAGACCTGGGCTATTAGTTAGAGGGATCACTGCGGCGCTTGGAACTAACTGTAAGATTCATAGATGAACTAGGCTAGATTAAGAGGTCAACTATAGCTATAGGTACTAGAAGCTAACACTAACTCAACAAATGCTAGCTCAGCAGGGCCAGACTAACTGCAAGGAAGCCTAGAAGCAAAAGCTAACTACCACAACCTCTACGCTAATATTGGACTTCTGATTAAGCCAAAAGGGTTTTACAGAATAAAATAACAAACAATTAAAAAGATCATAAAAGCTAAACAGGAGGACGAGAATTTAACATGACACCAGGAAGTGTGTTTAGGCTAACCGCTGACCTTGATGCTAAATCAAAGCTGGGATGAGAAAAACAAGTGAGTGAATGAACCATTAGTTTAGAGTAACTAGAATAACAGAAGCAGGAAATAACCTTTAATTTCTAAGACCTGAGCCATCTCCAGATGAAGTGATCTGGGGGCAAGCTTCAAGGACCCCGAACTGTGGATGGCTTAATGAATTATACCTCAGTGTTTCCCCTACATTCAGCAGTGGCAGTGCACTGCTGCTGAATTATGTGCTCATAATGATCATGTGAAATTTTACATGATCATTAATATCAATGCGCCACTAATAATTTCTACTCACACTGTGTGAGCACAACAACACACGTTATTTTTGACTTGTTTTAAACAAGCGCATCAAATCCTGTCAGACCCTCTTCCATCAATGTGAAGGTAACGTTCAAGCTTATACACGGTCTATAAAGAGAGTAGCACTAATACTATAGCAACATTCATATCAATGTGCCACTAATAATTTCTACTGGCACTGTGTGAGCACAACAACAAACAACATTATTTTCGACTTGTTTTGAGTCATCAACAAGCGCATCAAATCCTGTCGGACCCTCTTTCATTAATGTGAAAGGTAACGCTCAAGCTCATACACGGTCTATATAGCGAGTAGTGCAGGTAATGTAATGTGAACGTAACAGCGTAGCTCCAGCAAGAGAGTGGGGCTAACAGTGAAAAATGTCTAACAAAATGACTGAATATTAATACAATTTTCATAAGATTAATGTTTTTTTTATCACAAAATAAAAGTTATAAAGTAAAGATATTTTCTGGCTGATAAGGTTTTTGTCTGTCTGATTTCAGGCATGAAGCAGAGCGTTTAGAACAAGAGGCTAAAGGGAAGCTGGAGAGGCAGAGGATCACAGACCAGGCTGAGGCTGAGAGAGCCAGGAAGGAGCTGCTGGAGCTGGAGGCGCTCAGGTATTCTGCTGTAGTGGGTCAACAGGTGAGGTGTTACCTCCACCTGACTTTTCACTCAGGACATCCGAACTTCTAGCAGTGGTGCAGTTCAAAGTTATCAACCACAGACATAAGTTGTAGCTTTTGATTTTTAGACATAAATTTAAGTTAATTTTGTGACAGTCTTTTTATTTTTTATTATTTTAATTTGGGAAAAACGACAAATTCTTTCTGATTAAAATCTGCCTGTATGTTTCAGCGCTGCAGTGGAGAGTACTGGAGCTGCAAAGGCAGAGGCACAGTCTCGGGCAGAGGCAGCTCGTATTCAGGGAGAGGCAGCAGTCAATGAAGCCAAACTGAAGACCGAGGCTCAGAGGATTGAGGCGGTATGTCTTCCTGAATCTCTGTCATTTGTCAAAATTTAAGTCCTGACACAGCAGCAGTGAGAGAAGTCTGTGTTTTAGTCAAGGAAAAGCAGCAATTTATCACTAAGTATGAAGCTACAGCCCTACCAAATCCATGATTTAGGTTTTATTATCTGCCATGTCACAAATAAAAGCAGCAATTTGACAGAGTGGCAGAACCCAGGATTACAGAGTGATTCCTAAGATGATACTGTACATATGAATAAACTGTGCATATATCTTTGTGTGTGCAGGAGGCAGAGCTCCAGCGGCTTGCGAAGGCTCGTGAGCAGGAGCTTAGCTACAAGCAGCAGATGGATAATCTGGAAGTGGAGAAACAGAAGCGTCTGGCTCAGATGGAGATCGAACGCTTCAGTCAGATGGTGGAGAGTCTGGGCAGTGACACCCTGAGGGACATGGCTCGAGCTGGGCCTGAGCTGCAGGTACAATTTCAAACTACTGGTGGATTGATATGAACAACTCGGAGTGCTACTAACAACTTTCTATGACTGCTTATAACCATGACACTAACCACCAACTGTTTCTGACTGATGACTGCTTTTTTTTTTTACTTACTTTTACTTCAACTGCCACTCATACAGGCGACTAGCTACCACTTCAACTAACAGCTGCTGCTCCTGCTTCTACATTCACTCCTACTTCTTGTTGAACTTGCCTAAAAATAAGACTTCATTTAACGCTGATTTTACTGCATATAATCACTCTACTACTACTTATTGCTTCCATAGCTTTTAATTCTGTATCTGCCACTTTCCATTCCCATGTGGTCTAGCTAGGGCCACAATGCTAGAGCTAATTTTTAAATTAAATTAAATCTTTTAAATGAAAGTTAGCACTTAAGGCCTTTACATAAAAGCTGATGTTATTTTTGTTTTTAATTTTTATTTATTTGACTTTACAATAAACTGTTCTTGAAAAAAATGAAAATGTTAAAAAAAAAATTGATAACATACCCATGTCTTTTTACCAAGCTGACAGAAAAAAGTCCAGATATTTCAAATTTGAATGTAACAATCAGGAAACAATGCCGTAGATTTGGACTTTTCTCAGTGGCTGATGGATTTTCATTCCAAACTAAACATTCAGGTTTTGTTATCCTCCAGGTGAAAATGCTGCAGGCTCTGGGGCTCAAGTCCACCCTCATCACTGACGGTTCGTCCCCCATCAACCTGTTCACCACCGCCAATGGCCTGCTGGGGGCGCTGCCTGGACAGGGACAGGCCGAGTGAGGGGGTAGGAAAGCAAAAGAAGGAAGAAGAGGGAACAGATGTCCGAAAGTACACCTCAGATGCTTCTTTTTTTCTAGTCAAAGGCTGGTGTTTCTGACAGGTGTGGTAAAACAAAGAATACGTGCCTTCTTCCAGAATAAAAAAAAAAAAGCTCTTCGTTGGTTTGTTACATCACCTCAAAAATAGACTAGCTCTCCGTGGCTGTCTTAAGACTTCACAGTGGTCACGGTTTGACTCTGTAACAAAACCAGGCAGTGCATCTTGATAATCATTTTCTTCCACTTTCTGAAGTGATTTGCACTAAAGGAAAAAAACTGTCCCAAGATTGTAGTTCCTCAGGCTGGGAACAGAAGTAAGAGGCCAGGGACACTAAAGATACATCATGAATATAACAGAAAGCTTTTATCGTGGTATAGTAATGTTATTAAAGTATGTTTAGTCAGAGTTGATTTTTTCTAATAGTGTCCAGATTTGCTTTTGTAAACCTTTTGAAGGAGGAAGTTGTTTTTGTGCTCAAACAACAACAGAGATTAGCTTCCACAGACCGTAAAGCTGTAGTGTGGAACTTGCTTTTGTTGACTTTGGTGCTCCATGTGGATAAAGTAGGTAACCTCCATATCATTGTGTATTTCATCTTGTCTCTCTGAGAGACAAGAAACCTCTTTGTGTCATTATTTTACTGTCAAAATTATCTCACTGTGGATTTTTGCTGTGAGAAAAGTAAAAAGGGCTGTTTCCTTCAGTGAACCTAACTCCTCACTGTAGTTATAATCACTTCAAAGTAAATTTGTCTATTTTTTCATCAATGTTCTCATTTACTTTTGGACATTATTATAGAAATATCATAAATATCAAAACTCCTCACTAGGGCTTTAAAAATGTAAATCATCCCTTAGCTTTCAGTACAAATATAAAGAATCTACATATTTAGAATACCAGTTTAAAAATCATGTATGTGGTTTACAAAAGCTGATAAATGGTAGCTTATTACAGGCATTACCCCAGTTGGCCTTATAAAAAGCCGTCCAATTTTCTAAACAGCAATAATTATAGTTAAATGCCAAATAAAAGTACATATGTAAAAATCCCCTATAACTTTTATAGATGGTAATAATTTACCAGGTTGAATCAAAGAGTTCTGAACTTGGATTAGGTTATATAAAACAATAGAGTTAATGTGAAATCCAAAACTGCAAATCTATTCAGCTCTATTTCATCCAGCTGAGCTGCCATATTTCTATGCTATAAACATCCCCTTGTTATGATATATATATAATATATTACAGACATTTAACTACGTCTCCCAAGTGCACTTCACTATGACAGAGCTCCATATGTTAGAAGATGATGCTGATCAGTCCACTTTCTGATTCTGGGAATAAAACAGTTCCTACCTCCTCTCTCCCACTTTGATGAAGACCTCCTCCATGAGGATTATGGGTTTTGTAGCACTTAAGGGTACAAACTATCAGTGAATAAAAACCCTGTCCTGCTCATGCCTGCATATTATCCCAGTTCTGCACTTTGCCTACAGTTTTTTCAAAAGTCGGTCTCAGGAGACTCCTCCGTAGTCTAGAAATAGTCTAAAGGTTCATTTACAAATCTTTTGTCTCCTTGAGAGCCAGCTACAAGGTTTCTCTATCCTTCCTGGCAGGGTGGGCTATGAAAAGCCGCTCGATGGAATCTTGGGAGATGTAGTTCTCTTCACTGTAACTTTTGTAAGTCATCATGGTTTACACTCTTACCTCCGTCACAGGCTTACAAGTCCTTAACATTGTAATTAATGACACATAGAGGCTGCATAATACTGTATACAGAGTCACACTGATAATCATCATCTGTCTCTCTCTTTTGTCGTACCTCTTTCATGTTAATTTCTGCTCTTTCACCTTTTTAGAAGAATAAAGAATCTGAGGTTTACTTTTGGACAAAACTGAAATCATAGAGTCAAGTCTTTACCCCAAAACAAGAAGAATCGTGCCTACAAACAAGCTGTTTGTCAAGTTGTATCCTGACAGCCAAAAAATAATGTTTTTGCTTTGCACTTTAGGTAGAAGTGAATGTAGGATGCTGTTGTTTGCATCCTCAGTGTATGCAGTGGTACCAAAATTAAAATGCAATATTCTGCATGCCTTTCTCTGCTAACCTTAGTGCCACTGTTTCTACATGAAGAACCCTGTGAAACTATTAAAGAGCTGCTGATGCTGTTGTCCAACTCTTTGCCTCTTCTCTTCTCACCAATTCAAAGTCCTTGGCTCTGTTTTTACACATGCACAAATTTGATTGACGGCAAGCACAGAAAAGTTTCAAAGTTGCTCCAGTAAATGGCTGCAGATATTTCTGGCATATCAAAGTGTAGTTTGTCTGCTAAAAGTGTTTTTTATTTTTTTATTTTTTTTGTGTGGTATTTTTAGCTTCTGATTTTTTCCTGTGTCTGACAACTTCACAGAAATAGCCGTCACATCTTTTTCTGCAAAGACCCGGTTGAGGAAAATAGTTATTTCTGGAAGAGGTCTCAGTCTTGTAGTGCTCCAGTCAGTGTTTGTGACTCACTGTTTTACAGTAAGACTGAGCCAACAGACAAAGTTGGCTTTCCAAGAACAGGAAACTTGAGTAACCAAAAGTATTTGAGGAGCATTTTATTTACAAAATCCCAGGAGATGAAAACCTTTAAACTAGACTTAGTGTTAAGTTTGTACAATATTTCTGTTAGTTCCTTGTAGTTTTTTGGAGTTATGATCAGCTGATTAGGTAAAGGTAATCATATCTGATGGACATTTTAAAATCCCACATTTAAGATCATCTCCTGTAAGAGCAAACTTACATGCTGTGTGTGCAAAAATAAAGCATATTTACCTAGTTTTATTCTGTTTACATTCATACCTCTGTACACTGGGGCTTTAAGTGAAAGATGAACCCAACAGCATTACTGCCTGTCATAATGAGTAGAGACTGTTGAACTTTTAGATGTAGACAACTAAAAAACTGGCAGCAGTCCACTAGATGGAGCTCACATATTCAGAAAGGCTGTTGCTCCCGTCAGAACTGTCCCTTAACCGAGCATGAGAAAACCAACACTATGAATAAGTCCATTTAGTCACCAACTAGCCTACTACAGAAGTGTACAGTCTCAGTGTTGCAGCAGTACATGGAGCTTCTCTTTATCATAGGCATCCTAAAAAGTGGCTAATTTGTCAGATTTGGATTAGTAGAACTTTTCAATTGGAAGAAAACCCCTGAGAAGTAACACGAGTGACACCTGAAACCTTGAATTTTCATGTCGAGATTGTATGCTAGAAGTAGACAAAGCTAATGTGACAACATGTACAATGTAACTTTTATATAATTTTTTCCTCATTTTATCTGTTTGAGTTTGAGCAGAAGTGATTTTCAAGCCATGAAAAGGAGCTAGAGAGGAGAGGGAGGAAAGCTATCGTGACATGGCATAGGAATGGCCAGCTAGTTTTACCCATGATAAACAGTAGATCTAACTGTAATACTGTAATAGTAATAATTTGTTCAACTATGGCAGAGGAATATCAAGATTGTGACTTCCTGCAGTGTCTTCAGTGGTACAACTTAACTCTGAACAAGACAACATGCTGGTTACTATGATGGGAGCTTCTCAGTCCACAAACCTTTTCTAAATGGGATCATACCAACAAAATTGTTATAATTCTGTGTTTAAGATGACTGGAAACTTACTTTTCAGGCTTAAACTAACCAAACATGTTTGCTGAGGTTATAGATGAAGGGAAAAGATGATTCAAATAGACTTAAAGGTGTGGCTAAAAATGTCCTGAAAAGGTGAAATATTATATCACTTTAAATCTTGATGATTACAGCTCACAGCTCATAAAACTAAAAACTTCTCTGTCTCAAAACATTGTAAAGTGTCTAGTCCAGTTTCTTCTCAGGTATAATAGCCCTAAAAAAACTCTAATCAGCTGATTAATTCTGATATTCTTACCTTTTGAGATGCACCTTGATACTTTTTTAATTGCTTCAGCTGGACATTAGGACAAATGCAGGTGTAACATCCTTCAATAAAGGCTTCACCTCTGGAGCCCATTCTAGGGAAAGAAGAATGAGCAAGCCCAAATTTTCTGGGTAACTTTGACAGGCTACACATGAACATTGTCTGGGACAAGCAGGTTACAGCATCTGAACATGGGGCAGAGTCTCAAAGTCTAACTAGTCACAGGTCATCAGACAAGCTCAGTTTATCTGCTAGGTGAGTATGTAGTCATGTGGCTGCTGACTGGTATAAAAAAAACAACAACAACAACAAAAAAAAACAATGTAAACCTGGCCTCTAAATGCAGGGGTAAATGAATGTGTATTTTTGGAATACATATAGTATCTCTGTTGTGATATTTATCCACAGAGTGAGAATATCCAAAGTTTATGATCATCATTGATATAGATTTGGTAAAAATCCCCTGTGTGATACTTGATATATATTTTTCTCATCATACCGTAATACTTGAAGTCAGGGACCCAATATTCTACTGCCACCACTCTGACCACAGTTGTTATAAATGCACATTACAATCTGTTAAACACTGACAATGAGTGTTACTGCTGTGATTAGGAGTAGACTGGTACCACAGGGGACATCAGGACAGGACTGCAGATCAAGCAGAAGAGGTGGCTTCTCTTGATTCAATCCACTGATCGGATAATTCAGTCAGGGGAGGATAATGAATCCCTCCAGGTTGACTTTATTTCTCTCCAACGGTCTCCTCTTGTTTATTTTTCACTTTATCTGCTGTGATCCTCGATCAATCTGCCCTACCTCTACTCAGGTTCAGACCCCACTGTTTGTGTCACTAACAGTTTAAATCAGCTAGAAAACTGAAGTAACGGGGAGTAATCTCACTGATGAAGCAAATATCCAAGCGCCAAAAGTGCCAGATGCTCCCCTGCCGACTGGCCCTAAGAAAAGTTTTTAAGTCCACTGCAAGTACAGCAAAACAGATGGACCATGGTCACGCTTTAAACACCAAAAAATACCTCTTGAATTATTTTGTATCAAACATGCTTTCTGTCATTAATGTTAGTTCTGAGCAAGCTAATGTTGGTCCAAGTGTTTGTTGTTTGAAGTTCCAGTTATTTGTTGATAAAAAGTTTAAAGTTAAGTCATTTAAAAGAAAAAAAAAATTAAGTGAGAAATGTGGCTCTTGCAGTATTTTTGACAGATGAGCAGAGAAGAAGGAATTTGAGTGAGTGAGTGAGCAAACACTGACACAACAGTAGTTCAGCTTCTTGCATTCGTCATGTTTTCATGCCGTTCAAAAATTTGACCCCCATTCTGAAATACATGCAAACACATTTGTCTACCTAAAATCGTATTAAACTATATTTCTTGTTCCCATGAAAAAGACAGTATGATCCAGATTGTATCAAAACACTATTAATGGGCCAGATTAAGTGGCTAAGTAATTTATCAGTTTATTGTAATGTCAATTCTACAGCTCCACCTACCAGATCGCTTCTGTACATGTTCTTGCTCTAAAACATGTCAACAGTACAAAATGTCAACACCCATCACAGCTCGGGGTGAGGCCCATCACAGTTAGAGGCGTGGTTTATTTTACTAATGTGTGAAAGCTTCGGGTGGAATTCTGAACAAAAACAAAAACAAAAACAAAAACACAAACACGTCAGTCACTGAGTTCAACCTTTCTGCCAGTTGTTGTTGTTTGTGCTTTCTGCATATTTCTTCATGCCATTATCAGAGAAATGGAGGGTCAGGGCTTGAGTATGATTTTTCTCTCTGCTGTGTTTCTTTAACTAATCCCATCAGTGCCCTGATAGAAATGCTTTTCCACATTTACAACAAAAACTGCAAAGTTACGAAGTTTGGTGTCCATACTACATGTTTGCAAAGTTTCAAATCACAAGGTAAACATATTTTGTTTATAATCTGAGAAAATAGATGTAAACTGCTCAAAACGGGACCTTGAGAGGAAACACAAGACTCACAAGAAAGCCTACGTTAGTGTTGTAGTCTCTCCTTTCTCGTTAATCTATGCATCAGGCAAAGATGAATAACCACAATGGAGTAGAGTGACCAGACGTCCCCAGTTTCCAGAGACAGTCACCCTTTTTGATGACTTGTCCTCGGACAAAAGCTGTCCCCGAAAATGTCACAGATTTCAGTGTTTCATGACTCAGAGAAAAAATGTTGTATAGACTACAACTAGCCAGGCTCGAGTGAGCATGTAGTGTGTGTGTGTGTGTGTGTGTGTGTGTGTGTGTGTGTGTGTGCATATGGGGTAATGTATTATTATTATTATTATTATTATTATTATTATAACAGGTTAAACCGACCAATCGTGATATACAGATGAACAAATAAGCTGAAGAAACCCAAACCATTTTGATCATGTCTTCATTTATTTATTTATGTATTGTTGATTAATTCATTTTGTATGATGTAAGCATGTAAAAATATAAAAATAGACATGAGATGGACAGTTTCCCTCTCTTTTGGAGTCTCTAGTGGACATTATAGGAGCTGCAGTTTTATTTTGCACTGAGACCTCTTGCTGTTTTGCATGTGATTCTTTGATTAAAAAAAAAAAAAAAAAAAAGATACACAACTTTAAAGATTCTTCAACTCTTCATTTATTTATTATTTATTAGTTTTATATTATTTTTTTGAACACATTGCATTCAGACCTGCTGAACATTTTGCCCCTGAAATTGTAAACATAGGATGTAAACTGTGATGGCAGACACTTATTATATTATATAAAATATATTACATTATATATTTTAAATAAATGTATACGACATAAAAAAACAGACTTTTGTCTACACCAGAGGGATTTTTGAACAACTCTTCATCCTCACAAAAATGCAGAAAGGGTTGAAAATGCCCATAGATGTGTGTTTGGACTGTATTTAGTGTGTACAGAGTAGTACATTAAAAAGTGTTAAAAGTGCTTTTTTTGCCACTGTGCCAAGATAAAATGCTGAAGAACAGCAATGATTTCTTATAAACGTTCAATTGAGCCTAAGAGTACTGAGCAGATGTAACAAATTATAGCCAGCCATCTTGTTGAAACAACTATGGTCATCTGGAATGGTAAATTCCCAAACTTATATTTTTGCCATCCACATCAAGACATCTTAAGATAGTTCTCAAAAATCCCATACTTGGAGGGTGTTTTCTACAATCTCGGTTTTCAGTAACCTAGAGCTCTTT